AATGTAATGCCACAAGATTATCTTTCGAATGAAAAAAATTCACGTCAATCGAATAATCCATCGTTGTTTTATTGCAATTTAAAGTTCTATACCTCTAAAAAAAACACCCTTTACAATAAAAGTTGAATTTGTACCCGGTCCAGGCGAAGAAAGAAGTATAAGCTTAATAATACATCCGTTCCAATTCGATACAATAAAGGTATATTTTATTGGTAGATAATAAATCTTTATTTACCACAAAGTATTTACAATTTTCAACAAATAAAAAACAATATGCTAGAACAGCACAAAATATCACTCGAAGTTCACTAACGAATATTCTACTTCACCTAACAGATTATACTAAATCATATAAAACGAATTACAAAAAACACACTTTGCAAAAATTTTAATATTACGCCGCAAAAATAGCTGTATTATAAAACCTCGCGTAAAATTTTTCATGTGCAATAACGTAAGGCACGAAAGTGTGCAATAATTGTATACTGTACAATTCTTCAAACTTGGAAAATATGTACAGGATATCACCCATTCATCTAGCTTAACTCTGAAATAATCAGTCTGCTCAAGACTGGATTTCAAAGTCTTACCACAGATATATGTAAATCTAAGCAATACAGTAAAATGACAGAACATAATGGATTTAATAACATTGTGACAAATGAAACTTTTTTGGGAAAGACATTGCAATTTTTTAGCAACTCCAATCGAACTTTTCATGATTTAATATATATAATATATTACACATGGCACTGGACAGGCTACCATTTAAGAAATACAATATTGTACATACGCAAAGAAAAGACACATAAAGGAGCAAACGTATAGTTTATTCATTGAATCAAAGCAGTTACGTCACAGTGTCAAATAATGACAGTGACGCACATGCTTGCCACATTAATTGAAACTACTAGATCCTAGGACGTTTTATAAGATCTACTTGTGTTGTAACATTCCTCAGGTGTGCCTGGGGAGACTCTTTATGATCAAGGGTAAGGTAACGGCTGAGACAATAATACCACGATTAAGTTGTGAGACACTGTATTCACTGAACCCCTAAAGATATAAACGTATTGGAATTAGGGAATCTTAATTCTCTATTTATAGAATTAATTAAACTTAAAATATGTAGCCGGCTTCTGGCGCGCGCGACCCGCTAACCCTCTTGCTCGCACTCCGTTCGTCAGTCCCCCTCTTTCACCTTCTTGTAACGCGGGCAACGTCGACCGCGCACTGTTGCCCCTACCACCTATTTATCCACGACTCCACCACTAACTTAAACCACAGCCGACGTCAACTACGAGCCGTGAACAAAGAAATCTGGCAACGTAGGTGGTAGTGTTACTCCCGCCGCTGCTTGCTGCATCGACGCAACTCGTGCTCAACTGTTATTTTTCAAGATAGCGTGAAGGCTAAAACAGTTTTAGCCATGTCATTTTTATTTGAGGCATACCCAACAATGTTTTGTGAGCGATAGTCCAGCCTAGATGTTATATAAATTTCATCGATCATCAAAATTACAATTTTTTCTCCTGGAGGTAATTTAATTGCTATATTCCTATCATTTTTTGGAGATATACCCATACTTGAGGAGATATGTTGTAAGTATCGCTTACTTGGCAAATAAAAAATCTTTTAATTAAATTATATGTTGATGATGAGTGGTTATAAAACGTAAAAGCCATTATTATTGAAAGTGATGCATATCTGTTTTTCCTGTTTTGAATTTGTCTCAGCTGATCAGCAATAATCTCTAGATTTTTTGTATATGGAAACATAACTGAGTCATTATTAATTATGGAAATCGCTGTGTCAAGTTGTTCCAATGCATTCATGATGCAAACTTCAACAGAGTTTTTGTGTTGGTTCTCAGAAAAATAGAAAAAATACCTATTTAACAGGTTTTCTAATTGGGACCATCTGGTAATTTTGAGATCATATGGCAAAACCCACTTCAAGTCACTAAAAGAAAGCTTACATCCTTTATGAACAACCTGACCAACAACTATAATCCGTGTATTCAAAGTTAAGATATCATTTTCAAAATCCAATTTATAAAAATATAGCTTTCCATCAGATAAATTATTATTCCATTTCTGTGAGGCTTTAATTTTTTAGAATGAAGAATGTAATTCTTGAAAGTCTTTGATCTTATCCATATCATCGAAATTCTGGATAGATTTTTCATGTTTCTCAATTAATTTTTGTTTTCTCTGCATTGGGTCAGTTCTTTTGGGTGCTTCGGTTTTTGAAAGATATGATGGAAAGTTTGGGAAAATGGAGGGAACAGCATTTTCTTTCAATTTTGGATATTTCAAAGGTATATTATTTTGGACTGTTCCATCCGCCGAAACTATATTATCTGTCCTGATGATATCCGATTCTCTAAAATGACGACTGCACACAGCTGAATATTTTGAAGGTGTCCAATTTTTTCTGGGAATTGCCATAAGCCATTTGTTTTTCAGACTTTCGGTACTTGGGAAGCGAAAAGTTGAAACATACCTTTCTGTTTTCAAAGCAGAATTATAGTTTGCATTGCATAAAGGAACACAGCAACAACGAGGCATATTGTCTGCGTCAAATACTTGATAAATGAAAAAAGAAAAATACAACCTGAATTTGCACGTTTTCAATAGTTGAAATCCTTAGCGTCCTGAGGCGCGAACAGCCACAGTCACACTTCTTAGTTTATTTTTAAAGCACAGAAGCACTACAACTGGAGTCTATTTCTCATATATTATAGTCACCGATCACTTTGAACACATACACACACTTTGAAGCTTAGAAAACAAGCTTATCTCTTAATTACAGCCTCTTGGATTCCCAAAATCACAAATTGAAAAGGTTATGTTTTCTCAGCGTTTTGAGCACGAGTTGCGTCGATGGAGCAAGCAGCGGCGGGAGTAACACTACCACCTACGTTGCCAGATTTCTTTGTTCACGGCTCGTAGTTGACGTCGGCTGTGCTTAAACCTAGCCTGTCACAGTGTCTTCGATGCCTCACCGCAACCAACATTACGGAGCGTATGTTTTCTAAACGCTAGAGCTAGAATATCTTCTATTTACCACCTTAAAGCTCTATTACGGCTGAAAAGGCAATAATGGAGCTCCATATGATCTCGTTCGGTCTCAACATTTTTCGTCAAAGAAATTACGAATTCTTTTGCTTGTCGAAATGCTTAAAAGGATACCTCAAAGTTAAAAAAAAACTGTTTTTATAAAATAACAATGCAAATATTGAGGCCAAAAAAAAAACGGAAATAAACAACAGTCGGTGGAGTAATTACCTGACAAAGCTTTGCGACGATGTCACAACACAACACCGAAAACTGTTACCAACCTAAATGTACCCGGGAAACTCAAACTATATGTACCAATTTAGGATCTATTTTGCATTAAGGTTGGCATTCAAATTTACTAAATATGACGTAACTGCTTTGTGTCAGTGAATAAACTATAAGTAATTATGTGTACACTGTGAACGGAATTTTCTTTTTACTGGTAAGATACGGTACAATTTTCTTCTTTGGTACGTGAATAGCTTTTCTAAATTGTAATAGCAAATACAATTGCTGTTATAGACACATTTTACCTGAACATTTTAAAGCTGGTTACCTGAGCTTTCCATCATTGCAATATAAAGTTTTTAAGCGAAACTCTGGAATATACAGAATAGGCAAAGCCTGTTGGACATAGGCCCTGTACGGTGACCGCTTGGAGACGTCGAGTCGCGCTGCTATTCGGAGTGAAAAGTAACTGGCAACTTGACAAAGGTAAGCGAGGCTATAAAAAATGGCAAAATAAATGCGTCAGTCTAACCGAGATAGTTTTAGATAGTACCATAGTGCCCTTGTATAACTGGAATTCGGAGTACCAGTGAGATACCCTCGTACATCGACTAGATGATAGATGCCCAAAACCTCGTTTAGGCAACCGGAGTTACGCCGCCATGTATCAAAAGTAGCTTGTAGCCAAAATGCGTGTAAGTGCCCTTGTATAACTGGAATTCTGAGTACCAGGGAGATTTCCTCGTAACATCGAGGATATCTTGATTAGAAGATTCGAGGTGTCCAAAAACATCGTTTAGGCAACCAGAGTTACGCCGCCCTGTATCAAGGGCGGTATAGCTTGCAGCCAGAATACGAGCACTTTCGCGACGGCATCGAGAGAGATACAAGCATCTACCGCCGCCGAGAATCGTCAATCGAAATCTCGATAACCTCGATGAAGCGCTGGAAGGTTTATGGAATTCATTGACCAGGTGGCGGAAGCATACTGTCAACGGACAGCGTCGACATGGTTATAAATTTGTCATAAGTTAGTTGCAAGTGTAGTGATAAATTAGTTTAAAGGTAGTAATTAGACTTTGAACAGCGAATACGCGTTTTCGTTAGAATTCGATTGGCACTTCCAGACACTCATTCCAACCTTGTAACATATTGAAATTGGCCCAAAATTGCTGAACATTTGACACAAGGTTACGAATATGCCAAAAACTGATCAGCTAATATTAAAAAAATGTGTCACACTACACAGATATGAATCATACATAAAATTTTTGGTATTTTTTTTTTAGTAATTTACGATTTTATTTTGTTTTTACTTCCCACGCCTGCTGGTGTTATTCTAACCGCAAACTTTTCGAAAATTAGATTCTATGTTTTTTGGATGTTATACGACACGCACAACACGAAGTTCCATGTCACTCATTTCCATCTGTCGGTCTGTTCGCTAATCCTATAACCGCCTATAACTTAAAAAGTACTTCGATGAAATTCTTACACGATCTTACTACTGTACCAAGGACGCAAACGCTTCGTAGAGAAAAGGACATGGCGGGATTTTTATAGCCGTAATGTATGGACCTGTTTGGCCGACTTTTCTCTCAGATGGTCTAATTTGTGTTGAACATAATCGTCTATGATCGGATAACGGCGTTGCATGTTAACTGCAGAATCAACCAACTTCTTATAAAACTATTGAAAACAATACTTTGCAGACAAAAACTCGTTAGGTAGAGAAATGAGATTCCAGAACAAGCTCCCTAATAACCGAGAACAGTTTCTCTACTTCCTTGGATAACCTGAAAAAAATAATATATCAAGGACTGAAGAGAAAAATTTGTGAAAGAAGTAGCGGGGATGTTCACCCCCATCAGGCGCGCATTTTAATTTTTGCACTTTACATAACCTCACTCAGTTATGCCATGTTGCCAGTTATAATTTCTTTCAAAAGAAAGTGCGATATTTAGCGTGTGTTCTCTGTCTAGGATCAACTATTACACAAAGGGATTGAAAATTATATCTGTGATAAGACTTTGTTCAAGCCTTGCTATATTCAATATCAGGCACTCTATTTGCAAGCACTCAAGTACTCTTATGATCCGCTAGGTGAGTTCGGTGGTACATTGTTAGCGTTAAGATCACTGCTAGGACTGTTCAGGTCACTCTGTTCAGGACTCGCTAGATGGTTGGGCCTCTGTTCTATTCTTTCGCTAGGTTCTTCTTTGGCCTCGTCAATTGTGTCGACTGTAGGCTTTGTCATGATTCCATGCACAGGCGGAATCTCAAGGTTTTCTACGGTAGTGATACTGTTTTCGTCCACTTCGAAGCCTATCGTAGCGCCCAACTTTTGTGACGCTTGTTGGAAAGTATCACTTAGTTTTACCTAGAAACAGAAGGATATAGATGCTTAGTATAACAACAAGAAAATCCTATAGTGGACTGTCGGATAAGAGCCCGCATGAATTTAGATTTTTTTATCATGATTTATGTCCATGTAGGTAATGTATACAATAGCAAATATTAGATTAATTAAGCCGCTTACATACATGTATATGCAACACCTATACAAGTGTTTATTGAATTTATGAGGAAAGATATAAATATTGGATATTTATTCATTATTTATATAATAATAACAATGATAAGGAAACTCAACTTGAAACAAAAAAAATATATATTATAATATTTTTGAATATATTCCGAACATTAGGAATGTCTAAAATTACCGAGCTATAACGATGTTAGTCGGGGTATTGTAGGTATGAAAATATTACAACAGTAAGTGCGTGCTAGCAGATCATCTAAAACGTGTCATTTTCGGCTTCAAGACGATTGTTTTATCCTGTATTTTATCATACCTAAGAACGCTGTCCTTTTTTGGACACAAACATACACATTTTTAAATATATTCCGAACTTCAAGAATGTCTAAAATTACCGAGCTATAACGTTGTTAGTCGGGGTATTGTAGGTATGAGCATATCACAAAAGTAGGTGCGTGCCAGCAGATCGTCTAAAATGTAGCATTTTCGGCTTTATGACGATCGTTTCATCCAGTATTGGATCATACGTAAAAACTCTGTCCTCCTTTTTTTAGACACAAAAATAAACATTTTTGAATATTATATTCCGAAATTTAACTGTTTCTAAAATTACCGAGCTATAACGTTGTTAGACAGGGTATTGTAGGTATGAACATATTCCAAAAGTAAGTGCATGCTAGCAGTCGTCTAAAACGTATACTAAGTGACATATAAATCCGAACTCCCGGTTTAAATGGTTTTATTTTAATAAAAGTTGGTGGATGTATTTATCTTACTGTAAATAACAACTGAAAAAATTTTCAGCCTTATCAGTTGGACATTCTGGTTTTTATACTGTTTTTTTTAATTCACTAACGCTCTAAAAGTGAATATTTCAGCCGCAGTAAAGAATCAACGTTGGCGGATTTTGGTTCTTGACATCCTTTACGATCGGTTACGATGCCTAGAGTACGGAGACCTGTACGATTTCGTCAACTTAGTGAGTTTGATAGGGGCCGTATAGTGGAACTTCGGGAAGCTAGACTTTCTTTTCGGGCAATTACAGTTAGAGTGCAAAGAAGTGTAGACACTGTGGTTAGGTGTTGTCAGGCATGGCTTCGAGAAGGCCGTACGCAAAGAGCAAGGGGCACTGGACGCCGCCGTAGAACAGCAGACCGTAAAGATCGCCGCCTAAGATTATTGGCCTTAAGGGACCGTTTCTCCACTACCAGGTCCATTGCAAATGAATGGTTTGCAGAACACGGAAGACCTATTGGCATGCGAAGTGTTTACCGACGAATGAGAAGTTTTGGCTTGTTTTCATACCGGCCACACTGGGTCCTCCCTTTAACTCGAGAACACCGACGTAATCGCCTTGAGTGGTGCAGAAAACGGTCACTCTGGGATCAGGAATGGAACAGTATTGTCTTTAGTGACGAGTCTCGATTTTGTTTAGGCATGCACGATGGTCGTGCCAGGGTTAGAAGGCGACGTGGTGAAAGGAGGAATCCACAGTTTTTTGTTGAAAGACATGCTCATCACACTGTTGGAGTTATGGTTTGGGGTGTTATAGCTTATGGTTCCAGGTCACCTTTAATCTTCATCAGAGGTAGCATGAACGCGCAGCGTTATATCCACGAAGTTCTAGAACCCCATCTTTTACCCTATCTTGACACCCTGGCAGATCCAACTTTCCAACAAGATAATGCCCGACCACATGTTGCAAGAGTCACAATGGACTTCTTTCAACATAATGATGTCACATTGTTACCATGGCCACCAAGATCTCCCGACTTATCCCCAATTGAGCACGTGGGGATATGATGGGTAGGAGATTGCTCAATTTGCAACGTCCTCCTCAGACTCTAGAATCACTTCGAGAGGAGTTGGTGGTTGCCTGGAATGAGATACCACAGGAGGACATTGACCACCTGATCAGAAGCATGCCTAGGCGCATTGGAGAATGCGTAGCACATCAGGATGTATCCACACATTATTAAAGGTCAAAGGGCTTTAAAGCAGTGCAATCATTTTGAAATTTTTATCATTTACTTATTATGCTTCATTAAGTACTTATACAAAATTTTACTAAAATGAAACCATTTAAACTGGGTGTTCGGATTTATATGTCACTTAGTATATCATATGCGACTTCATGACGATCGTTCCATCCAATATTAGATCATACCGAATAGCGCTGTGCTCCTTTTTGGGACACAAAACTAAACATTTTTGAATATATTCCGAACTTTAAGAACGTCTAAAATTACCAAGCTGTAACGATGTTAGTCGGGGTATTGTAGGTATGAACATATTATTACAAAAGTAAGTTCGAGCTAGCGGATCGTCTAAAACGTATCATTTTCGGCTTCATGATGATCGTTCCATCCAATATTGGATCATACCGAATAACGCTGTCCTCATTTTTTGGACACAAAAATAAACATTTTTTAATATTATATTCCGAACTTTAACTATGCCTAAAATTACCGAGCTATAACGTTGTTAGTCGCGGTATTGTAGGTAAGAACATATTACAAATGAAAGTGCTTGCTAGCGGATCGTCTAAAACGTATCATTTTCGGCTTCAAGACGATCATTTCATGCAGTACTGGATCATACCGAATAACGCTATCCTCCTTGTTTGGACTCAAAAATAAACAATCTCGAATATATTCCAAACTTTAAGAATATCTACAATTACCGAGCTATAACATTGTTAGTCGGGGTATTGTAGGTATAAGCATATTACAAAAGTAAGTGCGTGCTAGCGGATCGTCTAAAACGTATCATTTTCGGCTTTATGACGATCGTTGCATCCAGCATTGGATCATACCTAAAAACGCTGTCCTCCTTTATTTAGACACAAAAATAAACATTTTTGAATATTATATTCCGAACTTTAACTATGTCTAAAATTACCGAGCTATAATGCTATTAGGCGCACATTACTCAATAATAATTAATTGAAAAAAAATATAAACAATTTCCAGAATAGTTCAGCATTTTGTGTCCATCAGACCTCGGCGTGCAGTTTTAGTTTACGTATTTATTTAAAATTAAATAGTGTGCAATTTTGGAACGTAACAGGCACAGATCATTAAATGATATATATAAAGTTATAATTTCAAATGAATTGGGAATATGTCTTAAATGAAATAAGCTATATTCTAGAAACAAAATCCACCAATTTGACTGATAGAGGTCCAAAAGTATGAATGTAAAGAAAATCAATTATTTTACCTGCTCATATAACTTCCATGTGGTTATTAGAATTTTTTGATCTTCTCTCCAGTGCGCTGTTATAGCAAATTTAAAAGCTTGCCATGTCCATACAGTGAATAAGAAAATTAAAAATAGTTGTCCCTGATTGAGCTTCATTCCTAAATCGTGAAGTAAATTTTGTATTGGTAGTACAAAACGTGAAATTTCAACATGCTTAATTGGGTTATAAGAACATGGGCTTATGCAATGATAAAACGAGTAAGTACAAGTTGATTCGTACCTGTACAACGTTGATACACATAGACATCAGTGCAAGACCAAACACCAGGTACACTATAGACAGGATCATAGATATGGGATTGGCAGGAACGTAGTCTCCGAATCCAATGGTTGACATGGATATGAAGACAAAGTAAAAACTCGCGAAGAAGTTCCACTTCTCCACAGCACAAAAGCCGAGAGCACCTGTAAGAAATTCAGACGGATTAGAATATACAAGTTTCGTAAGAATGCTTTACAGTTTCGAGGATAGATGTACAAGGAAATCTATGATGAGTGAAATATGTCTAAAAGGTATACTTTATCTGAAGTCACTTGAAACACTGTGAAATACCGGGTGCGTTTTATATATCTATATTTAACACGCTCTGTTGCTGCAAAAATCGCCAAATTTCGCAGCAAATATCCCCCGTATAAGATCAAAGGCAGTTTCATCGGTCCACGTGGAGTAAAGAACGCCTATGCGTGGACATAGCCAATGAGAAAGCATGTATTTCAGAGCTCTGAACAAGTGCAGGTGGCTACTGAAAATTGAAACAGTTTAGCCAGTGCCGTGTAGCGGTGAATAAACGTGTTTTCATTAGTCTGTCCGTGTTTTTTCATAGATTTTATTAGTTTGTGTGTTTTTGACTTTTGAATACTCGGTTTACTTGTTGATTTAATTGTTGTGTTGATTGTTCTTGTGTGTCCTAAGTATGGCTCTTTGGAGACCTTGGGAAAATGCTCCAAGCCACGAGGAGATGGTTGATGAACCTGTGCAGGCAGAATTCTTTCATAAAGATTTAGAGGAACAGACCCAAAGAGTAATCCTAAATATGTATGATTGAAAAACGAAAATCCAGATTCCTCGCAAAATCAAATTTTAAACAGAATTTGTATCCTGACAAAAATCAGTCGGTCTACCATTTATCGGGTTATAAAAAGAGGAGATGTAGTCAACCATTCCTTCCACAGAAAGCGCATAGGGCAAAAATTAAAAAGAATAGACGTGGGTTTTCAGGAAGATATTCGTCGTATAATATACGGATTTTATAAAGAAAATTTGGTGCCCACGTTGGAAATGATACGGGATAAATTAAAAGATTATCCTGAAGATTTTTATAATTACAAATGCTTAGACTCACTGCACTGTATTGTAAAACTGTGTGGTTTTCAATACAAAAAATTAGATAAAAGAATGGTGATTATGGAGTCGTCTCGAATCGTTGAATTGCGCCAAGAATTTTTGCACAAAGTTAAAATCTATAGAGAGCAGAAAAGAAATCTGATTTACCTGGATGAAACGTGGTATGATACCCATGATGTTGTGCAGTACGGCTGGGTTGACGACAGCAACAAGTGCATTTTAAATGCACCATGCAACCGTGGAAAACGAATCATTATTCTCCATGCTGGCAGTGAACATGGATTTATACCTAATGCCTTGCTGTTATCTGCCAAAAATATCAAAGAATCATGTGCCGACTATCATGAGGACATGACCTCTGACTTATTTGAAAAGTGGATAGAGCAGCAGTTAATACCAAACATTTCCCCAAATTCAGTGATTATTATGGACAATGCGCCATACCATTCCCGACAGAAAAAAAAATTCCGAATACAGGCACAAAAAACAAGACATTATTGATTTTATGAAGGATAAGGGAATGGAAATACCACAAAAATCAACCAAAACCATATTATTGGATCTTATTAAAAGACAAAAATTTGAAAAAGAGTATGTTGTTGGCAATCTGCTTCAGCAAAATGGCCATGAAGTATTACGTCTACCTCCCTATTACTGCATTTTTAACCCGATTGAGTTGGTCTGGGCTGCTTTAAAAAAAAAGTAAGAAAACATAATCAGACCCCTCAATTAAGTGAATCGCTATTGGCCACAATGAGAGATGCAGTATCTCATATTGCTGCCACAGACCTATGGAAGCAGTGTTCTAGGCATATTATTGAAAAGAAAATGAATATTGTGTTTTGCCTCCTGTAAATCCCGTTGTAATTCCTCTACAAGATGACTCTAGCGACAGCTCCGAAGGCGAGGATGATATATAAATACCTATAATGTAAGTCTTTATATACCTTTTTATATACCTACCTGCTATGTAAATATTTGCCTATGTCAAACGTTAAAATTCTGTTATTTTTCCATTTCTTAACTTTCAGTCAACATAAATTAAACTCCCAATATAAGTATTTTTTATCCCAAATCAAAAAAATAAGAAGATAGTAAAATCCATTTATTGTGATATAAAAACATTATTATTATCGTTCTAAATAAATAACCGCACGCCTATGATACGTCATGAAATTACAAAGGACGCGCCGACCAAAGGTTTTTATGCTATTTCAAGTGACTTCAGATGAACCATACGTAGAATTACTGCGGCTGGAGGCGTATAAGGATACCAACGTCGAAGAATCCCGCACTCCCTACAATCCCCTCTCTTCCAATTTCTTAGCCTTGACAATTTTTGCAAAAATGATCAGTATCCTCGGAAACATCAAAATAAAAGTTTATCTTTTATTACCTGCGCCGTTACTAGACCGATATTCAAAAACTACCCTTGTCATAGTTGTAACCTCGTGAGAAAACTTCATCAAAATCCGATCAGTACTTTCCAAGCTGAAGCGGGGTTTAGGCTTAGCGGACAGATAGATCGACAGACAGGACATGAGTGACATGGTTTTTCATGAAGTACAAGCTATACATTTTTTTTTATATGACCTTGTAGAAGAAAAAAAAGGTATATGATGTAAGATGAAGTTTTTCACGTAATATTTTTTGTATACATGAAAAGCGATATCTATCGAAAAAAGTTGCATTTTTTAAATGGAGCACCCTGTATATTTTCAGTGAGAGTGATAGCCCCTTTTTTTATTCCCAAATATATATGGTTTGTTAAGCTTATTTTAATTACTTTAATCAAAAACGTTTAGACCCTATGAGATTATATACAACTTTAGCTAGAGCTAGAGTACACAACTTTCTGCCAGAACAATTTTATGATCCTTTATCTTAATTCGGAGATGCCGAACATCATGAGGAGGAGTACGAGCTTCACACAGTACATTGTTATTTTTTATTTTGAATGAGGTAATGTTTTCCATTTACCAAAACTTTAGCTGTAACTCAAAAACCAGTATAAAGCTTATATCAAGAGAAGAGAATGTGAAAATATACCCTGTGCTCTATTTGGAAATTTTGAGAAATAGTTTATTTTGCTTTCTTGATCACGCTGTATAAGTTATCCAAAATACTTAAAAAGTAAGACGATATTATATAAATATAGAATTGTACAAGTTATTTGAAGAAAACTCAGCACTGTAGATATAACAGCTGCAGGTATGCGAGTCATTAAAGCTGAGCATTTTTTTCTTTGTAAAAATTTGAACATATACATATACTAAGTGACATATAAATCCGAACACCCAGTTTAAATGGTTTTATTTTAATAAAATTTTGTATAAGTACTTAATGAAGCATAATAAGTAAATGATAAAAATTTCAAAATGATTGCACTTCTTTAAAGCCCTTTGACCTTTAATAATGTGTGGATGCACCCTGATGTGCTACGCATTCTCCAACGCGCCTAGGCATGATTCTGATCAGGTGGTCAATGTCCTCCTGTGGTATCTCATTCCAGGCAACCACCAACTCCTCTCGAAGTGCTTCTAGAGTCTGAGGAGGACGTTGCAAATTGAGCAATCTCCAACCCATCATATCCCACACGTGCTCAATTGGGGATAAGTCGGGAGATCTTGGTGGCCATGGTAACAATGTGACATCATTATGTTGAAAGAAGTCTATTGTGACTCTTGCAACATGTGGTCGGGCATTATCTTGTTGGAAAGTTGGATCTGCCAGGGTGTCAAGATAGGGTAAAAGATGGGGTTCTAGAACTTCGTGGATATAACGCTGCGCGTTCATGTTACCTCTGATGAAGATTAAAGGTGACCTGGAACCATAAGCTATAGCACCCCAAACCATAACTCCAACAGTGTGATGAACATGTCTTTCAACAAAAAACTGTGGATTCCTCCTTTCACCACGTCGCCTTCTAACCCTGGCACGACCATTGTGCATGCCTAAACAAAATCGAGACTCGTCACTAAAGACAATACTGTTCCATTCCTGATCCCAGAGTGACCGTTGTCTGCACCACTCAAGGCGATTACGTCGGTGTTCTCGAGTTAAGGGGAGGACCCAGTGTGGCCGGTATGAAAACAAGCCAAAACTTCTCATTCGTCGGTAAACACTTCGCATGCCAATAGGTCTTCCGTGTTCTGCAAACCATTCATTTGCAATGGACCTGGTAGTGGAGAAACGGTCCCTTAAGGCCAATAATCTTAGGCGGCGATCTTCACGGTCTGTTGTTCTACGGCGGCGTCCAGTGCCCATTGCTCTTTGCGTACGGCCTTCTCGAAGCCATGCCTGACAACACCTAACCACAGTGTCTACACTTCTTTGCACTCTAACTGCAATTGCCCGAAAAGAAAGTCCAGCTTCCCGAAGTCCCACTATACGGCCCCTATCAAACTCACTAAGTTGACGAAATCGTACAGGTCTCCGTACTCTAGGCATCGTAACCGATCGTAAAGGATGTCAAGAACCAAAATCCGCCAACATTGATTCTTTACTGCGGCTGAAATATTCATTTTTGGAGCGTTAGTGAATTAAAAAAAAGCAGTATAAAAACCGGAATGTCCAACTGATAAGGCTGAACATTTTTTCACTTGTTATTTACAGTAAGATAAATACATTCACCAACTTTTATTAAATTAAACCATTTAAACTGGGTGTTCGGATTTATATGTCACTTAGTATATATAAAATTGCTTGGTTTCAAATAGCCTATCCAAATCTGCGATGTAATGTAGGACGTTCTGTTTAAGAGATGGGACATTCCACGTGAAGCAGACACCAAAAATGGCTCATATTTGGCATGTTTGTACATCCAGAAGGTATGAAATGGATAGGATATTGATTTTTTTATTATGAAGTACCGAAAATTTTCAAGTTAAAAAAAATTCGAAGTAATCGTAATTCCAACAATGGTTATTTTTGGGAAGCGTCTAACCTGCAACGAAAAAAATATGAGCAAATTATAAAACATTACTTTTTTTCGGTGTCCGTTTCCCGTGGGTCACCACGCAGTTATGTGACATTTTCCAAGTCAGGAGCATACAGTTTTTATTTTTTTAGCTATCATGCGTGATAACGGAGTTATTAATCGAGCCGACACTAAAAGCTCACTCCACCTAGTTAAATCTAGATGTCTGTGAAATAAAGTGAATGCGACTCTTACATTTTGGTGTGAAACTCTATCATGAACTGGGCTATTTTGTCAGCATCTGCAACGTATTTTTTAATTTTGTCATTTGACTATAACAGTGGCTCATCAATACTTACCGATAAAAATATACGCGACGAGGATGAACAGCGCCACCGAAATGGGTAAATTGAACTCATCGTCAATTTCAAAGTTGGAGATCGCTGGCGTGGTAGGCGTGTCTGTATCCCCTGACGCGACATAAGTCGCAGTGCTGACAGGTGTCAATCCATCCATTGGCTTGAGTTCGTTCGAGGTTGGCAGATCCGATTTGTGGTTGGTGTTATTGTGTTCGTTGCGGTGCGGATCCTCGGGATCGGTGTTCTGGGAAGGACGGCGGAATGTGGCTATTTCGTACATCATCTGGGCACCTTTGAAGATCTCCTGTGGGCACGCGGGTGAATTAGTAGAGACCTGACTACTTTGCAGATGCTTATTCTATTAATACTTTAATACAGAATATTAAGTTTACTCGTTTAGTTGTTTTAACTATACAGGGTGTCCGCAGAGTTGGGGTTGTCCTTTGCAGAAACAACTACCGTTGAAATAACAAAGGTAATGTGTAGTGAAACGAGGGCGATCAAGTAAAAAAAATGAAGGAAAAAGTACTCACTCTCCAGTTGACGAGAAGGGCTAAGTACGTCTCTGCCCGAAATAATACCGCTCCAACAGAAAATGAAATCAGCTGATGCGCTACCGAGCAGACGCCGGCGGTGGTGCAGACCACGAACAGAGGTAACAAATATGACGGCGTTGCCGTGTTTTCAGTTTTTAGGTAAACGTACTTTATAGGTATTGTTCGAAGTTATCGCCGTTTGATTCAAAAACACAGGTGCGTGCACGACGTAGCCAAGCATCGGTGCAGGCTTTGAGAACGGAGTCCCTCCCCCGAATGAAAGCACCAGCTTGTTCAATTCTGAGACGAAGTTCGTCAACCGTATGCACTTCAGTTTTGTACACTAAGCGTTTCATTTCTCCCCAAAGAAAAAAATCACATGGTGTTAAGTCTGGAGATTCGGAAATAATTCATTCAAAAACTCACGCACCTCGCGTCTAAAATGGGGTGGTGCACCATCGTGCAGAAACCACATTGGTTGTCTTACACTTAACGGCACATCTTCTAACAAGGAAGGCAAAATGTTGCGTAAAAAGTCTAGGTATTGCATCCCGTCCAACCGATTTGGGAGAATAAATGGTCCAATGAGCATACCACCATGCCAGCCCAAACATTCACCGAAAATGTTTGTTGAAAATGTGCCCGACGGACAGCGTGCGGATTTTCTACTGACCAAACATGAGTGTTGCGAAAGTTATTCACCCCATTACGCGTGAACGTAGATTCGTCTGTCACCAATATGCACTTCAAAAAGTCCGGATTATTGTCATGTTGATGCAACAACCACTCACAAAACCGCACTCTTGCTAGAAAATCGTTAGGTTGAAGGGCTTGTACACGTTGGACGTGAAACGGTTTGCCACACTTTAATATTTGATACTTGCACTTTTCAAGCCACGTCTCTAGTGCTTGTTGAGGGATTCTCGTCTAAGCGATTCAGTAGTTCTTCCTCAACTTGCACCATTCGCGGTTGTCTAGGCCTCCCACTGTGCCCACCTCGAAATACCTCCAAATGGCCCGAATCCCTGACTCTCTGGACCAGGTACAGAAATCTGCAGGGCCTTGGATGATGTCGTCTAGGGAAACGATCTGCATACACTCGCGAAGCCTCTGTAGCATTTTGAAGACTTTCGCCATAAATTAACAATATATCAACGAGTTCATTATTGGTGTATGAGTGTGCCATTATTATTTTTTTTTTTTGAAACGCAATCGATTATACGAGTTCGTTTACCTCTACACGCGTGACCGTAACCGTCGGTTGAAGGTTGCATACTGACCTGACACACTGACCCCGACCCAGTTCTGTCGTCGGGTTGAGACAGTGACCTTGTACCACTCGGTGATGTCGCGGGTCGCGGCTACAGGACGGTATTCAGATATTTTTGATGTTGCAGATCCCTTTATCTCGGTTCCCTTAAGACATTGGTGTATATGGTACTAAGAAAAATTGCTTATGTTTTCAAGATCTACACGTCGTGTAAAGGAAAACCCCAACTTTGCGGACACTCTGTATATGTCAACTAACAATATTATCACTTCTATTAGGATTGCAAGAATGTTTAATCCTTACACAGCATTGTATGTTAGATCATTGACAAAATGCTCTTAGAACAGCTACATAAGCGAATAGGACACTTCAGTCACCTAAGGGGTTGTACAATTGAATTCCGTAATTTCAAGTGAGGCTTCTAAAAATGTAGAGCCCATGAAACCTGTGAGTAGCGTCGTTGAATATGATTGCTTTGCCATGTTTCTCGGTTTACTAGATAGACAATATTATTAACTAACTAAAACCATGGCTGAACTATTTATTTTGACAGAAAAGTGACAAAAATGGCAAAGTAAAAGTATCAACGACACTACTGAGATCGAAGATAGGACGTAAGGAACATCATTGATTTCACCTATAAGCAGTGATGTTGTTTAAGTAACAGTGAAACGCTTTTACAAAATACGGTTTAAAGGTTGTAAAGTTGCATTTTTGGACTGAGTAACAAGAAAATAACGACTAAACTAAGTCATTTCAAAATTGAAGTTATTAGGCTGTTACTAAAACAACAAACTTTGTATATATTTTTGGAGGCTTCAAATAAGCAATAAAGAATGAATAATAATAGCTTACTAACATGCACATGAGCAGTCTTTCGTACTTGTCGACAGCTCCCCGTATAGTACACTCTTCTGACAAAAGACCATAGGAATTTGATACACCTAGTGAAGAGCTTGCCGAAGTCCGTGAGGGCGATGAGAAATAGTGGAATTCCAATAAGAGCATACACTATTGTCAAGGCCCGGCCTGTCGTCGTCGTCGGGTATATGTGACCATAACCTGGAACAGAATGTAGAACTGAACTAGATATAGAATTTACGATGGGAAATTTTCAACTTCCTTTTAAGGAATCCCAATACAGCAGACGCTCGATAATGTAAACTAATTTAATCCAAGTGTGGTTCACATTATCGGAATGTTTACGTTAGCGAACGTGATTTATATGATATTTGATTTATTAAAAGAAACGTTTAATACATACTATTTATAACAAAATAAACAAATATTCTAACAGCGATAAGTATTTTTTTAATTAGAAGAAAAATAATTAACAATTTTTGTCTGCGTAAATTTGCGCTTAGCATTGTCTTCCAATGCCTGCGCCCGTAATTTACGAAGAACTAAAATATCCGCGTATGAAACTTCTTTTCTTTCAGCCCAATCTAAAGCTTGGTTAAAAACTTGTATAGCTTGCGCGTCAGTCACTACACTTCTGACTTCAATGGGATCGTTCTCATCATCCTCACTGTCCATATCCTCCTCCTTATCAGCATCATTCATCTGCTCATCTTCGTTCCATAAATTAATATCAGCAGGAGTACAAACAGTGTTGGGATTCACTGTTTTCAATAAATCAACAATATCCAATGACACACTAATAACATTATCAGTATTGGATCGCAAACGTTCTCTAATTACGCTTAAGGGGACATCGTCTTCTTCATCATCTTCATTATTGGCACAAAAGAGATTGTTCCAACATTTTTGAATAGTTTGCTGGTTAAGTTCATTCCAAGCCATATGTAAATCTAAAGCAGCTTCTCGTAATGTTACTTTTTTTAAAGCCTCAGATAAGTTTTCAGGATTCTTTGATGAGACAGACGAAAGTAGAAACTTCCTATAGTATAGTTTGGTGAGTCTTATTATATTCTGGTCCATCGGTTGAATTAACGGTGATACGTTGGGCGGCATGTACATGACGCAAACTGACCCATCCCTGCTCCTCAATTGTTGCTCGGGAGGATGACTTGGTGCATTATCCAATAGTAACAACGCTTTTATTGGAAGCTTCTGTTGTTTTAGGAAACCTTTTACCTACAAATTGAAAACACATCTTCAAATCATGAATAGAGCATTTGTGATAATTGATTGTCATACCTGAGGGACAAAGCACCTGTGGAACCATTTCAGGAATATATCCAAGCGGTTTTTGAACAGTCATAATCAACAGGGATATTAACATTTTTAAATGAACGCGGATTTTTAGCTTTCCCAATTACCAGTGGCTTTATTTTGTGTGAACCATTAGCATTAGTGCAGGTTAGAAACGTTATTCGTTGTTTCTCCGGGGCAGATTTTTCAAATGATGCAGCATAGGTTTTATCTGGTAACATTTTCCAATAAAGGCCACTTTCATCTGCGTTGTAAATTTGTTCCATTCTTAAATCTAGCTCGGTAATTGTTTTCATCAATTCTTCTTTGAATGGTTGCACTAATTGTGGTTGTGCTGATAATTTTTCACCAGATATAGACAGCAGTCGAATTCCATATCTTGTTTTGAATCGTTGTAGCCAGCTATCACTAGCTACGAAGTTTTCAGTTTCTTTCAGTTTTTCATTTAACAGTCTCGCTCTCTGTTTAAGTACTTCGCCGCTAACTGGGACATGATTTTCCCGTTGTTTTAAAAACCACTTATACAGGGAATTTTCCATTCTAGGTGCCTTCGCATTTTTTAAAGTTTTTCTTTTTCCCGGACCTCCAAATGTATTGCACGTTCTTTGTAAAATTTGAGTTTTCATACGCTTAATTTTACAGATTGTTGCTTTCGATACTCCATATTTTTTTGCTAACTGTGTCACTCCCGCACCTAGTGCAACTTCGTCTATGATTTTCACTTTCTCACTCAACTTTAAACACTTTCTTTTATAGGATGTGGATGCCATAGTCGTAAAACATATTAACGCGTGCAATGTATTCACCTAAGTTCAAAAATGAAATACATACGTACGTATAAACGTATCCTAAACGATCAGACGACTGACCGAGTTTGTCCTATTCTATCGCAGAGGTGAATCCCCTACACTCTACATCATAAACCGGGGACTCCCCGACGCCCGGCATAAATCATCGAGGCTTCAGCATTTTACCGTCGCGCTGTTTCCGTGCGCCGAGAGTTGTTTACGTTATCGAGCGTACACATTGTTTACGTTATCGCGCGTTCCGTTTGATCCTATAGAACGAAGTTTGTGTTTACATTAGCGCAAATTTTCATTATCCCGTGTTTACGTTATCGAGCGTCTGCTGTATTTTGCCTCCGTAAGGTATGATCTTTTCTATCATCAAGATATGTCAAAAATTCACTTTCAAAATTTCGCGCATAACATGTGTTGTACCAAGCTTTTCTACACCATGTTTTACTTCCCACGCCTAGTGGCAAGGAAGTATCTACTGTGTTGACAGACTCGTTTTTCAATGGAAGGCACTAATTTATATTAGATATTATTTCGAAAATAAGAAAGCTGATATAATATAATGTAGACTTTGATCGTCATTTGTCTGAAAGGCTTTGACGTCTGTCATTTTGCGTCGTTTTTTACTTTCATCAAGAAAAACATATTCGTTGTTCCACGGAATTATGCAACACCCTGTACGTCACCTAATAGTTTAGATATGCACACCTATAAGATCAAGTCATCGTTGGTTGTCAGAGCGGTCCGTGAGACCTTAGCTCTTGAGGCACAGCGTCAGTTTGTAAGTCTGTCAGGTCTGGTAACCCAGAAACCAGACAATTTTAAGGAAAAATTATCGACCAATAAGTCTCGTTCCTATCGCCGCCAAAATAGCTGAAAGAATCATATTAGATAAGCTCCTGTCATTTGCTTTCGAAAATGACCTTATCCCTAAGAATCAGCATGGATTTCTCCCTGGTCGATCAATAATGACCAACCTTCTCTACTCTCTCAACGATTGGACTCAGTATCTGGACACAAAGACTCCTGTTGATATAATCTATTTAGATTTTTCTAGGGCTTTCGATCGCGTACCACATAGAAGGCTTCTGTTTAAGTTGGAATGTATGGGAATAAGAGGCGAGTTGTTACTGTGGATTAAGGCTTTTCTCACCGGGAGGACTTTCTCTGTGCGCGTCAGTGATAGCCAGTCTCACCTTCATCATGTAGCAAGTGGAGTTCCTCAAGGCTCTGTCTTGGGGCCAGTGCTGTTCCTTCTGTATACAAGTGACCTGCCCGCATTGATTTCCTCCACATGTTCAGCTTATGCCGACGACACCAAGATTTACAATACTGTCGTAAATTCTGCTATGCTTCAACGATATCTTGATATTGTTTGTCAATGGTCAGTCAGTTGGCTTTTATTTTACCCTTAAATCTAACTAAGTGTTGTGTCCTTCACCTCGGAAAGACAAATCCGCGATTTACATACAAGATCTCTGACCACAACATCGAAGCAGTTTCCAGCCACACTGATCTGGGCGTTGTAGTCAACGATCGTCTTTCCTGGTCAGAGCATATTCACCACGTTACATCAAAAGCCAAGAAACTTCTATACATGCTGGAGAGGTCTTTCAAAGGATCCGATGTCAACACTTGCGCCTACATTTACAAGGCATTCGTGAGGCCAATTCTTGAATTCGCTGGCCCGGTATGGGACACTGTGCTTCTGCGCGATAGAAATCTCGTCGAATCAGTACAGCGTCGGGCTACTCGTATCCCTTTTGGAGCACGAAGACCAAGCTATGAAGATCGCCTTGAATTATTCAACCTGACCTCATTCTCTGAGCGAAGACTTCGTGGCGATCTTATAGTTACGTTCAGGATACTTCATGGTTTGATGGGCACCAATCTCATGCATCTATGCCGTCTGTCGCGCAGCAATCTACGCGGACACAGCTTCAAACTGCATAAGGAGCCATTTAAAACAACAGTATGACAGTGGTTTCTTCCCAACCGCATATTTAACACCTGGAATAGTTTACCTGAAAGTGTGGTTGGTGCTACTCCAGTTAATAGCTTCAAAGTGCAGTATGATAGCTGGAGGAGTGTACAAACTTTATATCTATGAACTGTCTTTTTTTATTTTTTTCTATTTGACGTATTTGTGTTACGTGTCCGTACACTATATTTACTGCATGAGCTTATAGTACTGTGTACTCTGCTCATCTCAATTATCATAATAATAATAATAATAATAATAAAGAAGGAAGAACAAGAGCAAACGGGAAGAAGATAATCTTTTAGGATAGGCAGCGTTTAGGCATTGTTAAAATCACTCCACAGTTTTTGATATGGTCTAAAAATATTCGATTCTTTCTAAAGATATTGTCACAATGCTCCAATTTTGGTTGTTCTAAGTTCAAGAATTAATTTTGATTACGGTGCGAGCCGCGGCCTTTTGTGCTTGCGAACTTGCTCGACTGTGTAGTCCACTGACTCACGCAACAGAGGGTTGCTGTGCGATTCCGCTCGGCTATAGCGCCGCTGCGCCTGTTGCTTAATGTAGTCCTTTAGGTAAGGGACATCGAGGTCTCTATGTAGAGTTTCGTTAGAGCAATAGTGCGCAACGTCCTGCTTTGCAGAACATGCAGATTTCGCATGTGTGTTTTAGCAATAAAACACCAAGCCGCACATTCGTAAGTCATTGCTGATCTTATGACCACCTTATAGAGTCGAATCTGGTTACTCAAACTTAATTTTGAACGTTTACATAATAATGGGTAAAGCAGTCGAAACGTAATTTGAAATTTAGTTTTTAGCGCGTCTATATGGTTCCGCCTAGTCATCCCTTTGTCCGGAATGACGCCGAGATACTTAGCGGAGGATTCCCATGGTATACCAAGTCCATTCATTGAAACTTCAGATGGAACGCCGATACGTCTTTTTGTACAGTGCCTGCGTTTTCGAATGGTTCATTTTAATTAGCCACCGATCCGCCCAATCTAATACTTCCTCCACCGCACTTTGCAGCCTGTCATGGACTAGGTGACCAGACCACGACTGAGCCACCAACGCAGTATCGTCAGCATAGAGATAGACTTCACAGTTGCTGGGACTAGGGACGTCATGGATGTACAGTGAGTGAAGAATAGATCCGAGGACCGAACCCTGAGGGATGTCAATCTTGCTACGTGGATATTTTATCGTCTTATAGTTTTTCTGTTAAACTACTTTCTATCTTCGTTACGAACCCCGCATATATTGTATGTGGTCCCGTGATTTTTAATATAATATAGTCCGCAGATGCATTAAGAGTTAGTAGCTCCAACAGAAAATATTTCTGGGCTTTTCACCCGTTGGAACATTTGATCAGCACAACATAAACTATAACTAATCAAATGTTTATTGAAATTGAGGACATCATTCTCCAAAACAAGAATGTCAGCGACACATTATCCATCATGACAAAATGGTGTAATATGCTTTTTCTTGGTGGGATGTTTGTCAGACAACTGAGAAGCATTGATAAATTATCTATTGTTCTGGAGAATTTTATACACAGAGGCTAAAAAGGCTATTCCCTGTCAAAAAATATTGACTGAGTCAAAAAGTGGTGGTATTTTTTACCTCTCGTGTTGTCCACGTTCGCCTGGATTTGTTTTATTACAGAATAATGAAAATTCACTTTTCTGGGAATCTCATTTTTTTTCCTCAAAAATACGCGCATCCTACACAAATTAACACACCATACAGGTTATTTTTCAATCCTATATTAAATTTTCTTGAGGGTTTTTTTTGTATCCCTTCATAGAAATATTTATACATCTTCTAATATTGGTGAATGTGCGTGCACTTTCACCATATTTTTATATGGAGGCGTGATAGACCCCCATACACTGACGATTATTGTGCATTGTCTTTAGTTGCCTGATTGTGCAAAAAGATGTTAGCTTCAGCTGTCGATACCTACGTTCCCAGTATGTACCAAGTATACTAAGTGACATATAAATCCGAACACCCAGTTTAAATGGTTTTATTTTAATAAAAGTTCGTGAATGTATTTATCTTACTGTAAATAACAAGTGAAAAAATTTTCAGCCTTATCATGTGGACATTCCGGTTTTCAGCCGCAGTAAAGAATCAACGTTGGCGGATTTTGGTTCTTGACATCCTTTACAATCGGTTACGATGCCTAGAGTACGGAGACCTGTACGATTTCGTCAACTTAGTGAGTTTGATAGGGGCCGTATAGTGGGACTTCGGGAAGCTGGACCTTCTTTTCGGGCAATTGCAGTTAGAGTGCAAAGAAGTGTAGACACTGTGGTTAAGTGTTGTCAGGCATGGCTTCGAGAAGGCCATACGCAAAGAGCAAGGGGCACTGGACGCCGCCGTAGAACAACAGACCGTGAAGATCGCCGCCTAAGATTATTGGCCTTAAGGGACCGTTTCTCCACTACCAGGTCCATTGCAAATGAATGGTTTGCAGAACGAAGTGTTTACCGACGAATGAGAAGTTTTGGCTCGTTTTCATACCGGCCACACTGGGTCCTCCCTTCGAGAACACCGACGTAATCGCCTTGAGTGCTGCAGACAACGGTTACTCTGGGATCAGGAATGGAACAGTATTGTCTTTAGTGACGAGTCTCGATTTTGTTTAGGCATGCACGATGGTCGTGCCAGGGTTAGAAGGCGACGTGGTGAAAGGAGGAATCCACAGTTTTTTGTTGAAAGACATGTTCATCACACTTTTGGAGTTATGGTTTTGGGGTGCTATAGCTTATGGTTCCAGGTCACCTTTAATCTTCATCAGAGGTAACATGAACGCGCAGCGTTATATCCACGAAGTTCTAGAACCCCATCTTTTACCCTATCTTGACACCCTGGCAGATCCAACTTTCCAACAAGATAATGCCCGACCACATGTTGCAAGAGTCACAATAGACTTCTTTCAACATAATGATGTCACATTGTTACCATGGCCACCAAGATCTCCCGACTTATCCCCAATTGAGCACGTGTGGGATATGGTGGGTAGGAGATTGCTCAATTTGCAATGTCCTCCTCAGACTCTAGAAGCACTTCGAGAGGAGTTGGTGGTTGCCTGGAATGAGATACCACAGGAGGACATTGACCACCTGATCCGAAGCATGCCTAAGCGCGTTGGAGAATGCGTAGCACATCAGGGTGCATCCACACATTATTCAAGGTCAAAGGGCTTTAAAGCAGTGCAATCATTTTGAAATTTTTATCATTTACTTATTATGCTTCATTAAGTACTTATACAAAATTTTATTAAAATAAAACCATTTAAACTGGGTGTTCGGATTTATATGTCACTTAGTATATAACTAACAGCAGCCTACAAAAACAAGTAGCTACAAGAATGCTACAGAAAACATAGGGAATTCCTGTTACATAACATGCTGTTTCGTCGATTAATCTCCATGTCGTGTAGGTCGTGAAATAAAACCACAAGCGTAGAACAGACATTATCCCGGTTTTTCGATCGCTTGGTGGCCTTTTTCAAAGCACGATGTAATAAGTATTGATAGTGTTTTTTATCTTTATACCCATCAGAACAACAATTAAATACAAAGCAATGGAATATAACAATAAACAAGATTAATAGACAACAATTGATAAATAACGTAATCAATTCCATTTTACGTTGTACTTTTAAAAGGCCCTCTGAGGCAACCGAAACACCAGGAAATTTTCCTAGCAAGATCTGTGGTCTCATGCAACAGCTAGTCGCCCAGCACTTTGAATATAGTTTATAATAAATCGTCAAGTTGCAATTCGCTATTACCCTACCGATAAGAATCCAACGATACCGAATGGCAAAAACAACTTCAAGCCAAAACCCTTTCCTATATTTTGTGCGTACGGGAAACAACGCAAAACTCATCTTTACGTCGAAAAATACCGTTTTGAAATGTTTAACAAGTCTGTTCTGGTAGACCTGGCATCTTATCTAAGACTAGCAGGGTAATGAAAGAGGGCCAGGTGGGGATTAGATAAAGTCCAACTAGCAATTATGCCTTCGTTAAGGGTTGCAAGTACTTTTTTACAGCATTCTTTACACAACATTGTATATTGCAAGAGCAAGGCGAAACGTTCTTAGAATAGCTATACAAGCGGAATGGACACACCTAGTAGAACACTACATTTACTAAATGTTTTTGTGAGTAACAGTTGTACAACAAAGGTGTAAACACTCTTGCATCCGCCAAAGAACCTTTGCATCAGAGCAAAGTTCAATTTATGCAAAATACGTCACCATACATCACTCTAAAGCATTGATTCCCAAAGTGGTCTATATCGACCCCTAGGGGTCTATGACAACCTGCAAGGGGTCTACGTCAGCGAAAAAAAAATTGGGGGTCCATGAAATGAATATGGGGGTCCACGATAGTGGATGTCAACACATACACTGATAGTACCTATTTACTTACATCATACTATCTTATAATATCAATACGTTTATTCGTTTCCTGAATCTTGAAAACGAAAGTGCTAAGAAAATATTTTAAAAAATATAAACAGATAGCATATCACACAAATTATAGTGAGTCAGTGTTATTTTGTTTGAGGGTGCTGGAGAAAAGTAAGTACATTATTTGTCATTAAATTTTAGTTTTGTACTCGTAGTTAGCAAAGATAGATAAATTACGCCAGTCATGACTTTAGTTATTAGTAGTTAAATATTCAGTCATGCAAAATTACACGAGTAGTTCTCAATAGTTTCTTTTTGAAAGTTTTAGCAATCGCTAATATAATTACAGTGCAATCTCCGTAATTCGAGCTAATTGTTGCAAGAAGATGTTCGAATTATACAATGTTTTCGGAAAAATCAAAAAATATTTTTTATATACAGCTGCTGGATTTTCTGTCTTATTTAAATAATTTAATTTTGCCCACAGATGACTGATGCCATGTCCGAATCTAAAAAGAAATGAAGACAGTACAGTGTTGATTATTTGAAATTTGGCTTCATTCCATCATTGCCGGACAAACAATCGCCTATGTGCCTTTTATGCAACAAAGTTTTGGGCAATGACGCTATGAAACCATCTAAACTGCAAGATCATCTGAGAAGATGCCACCCTGATAAAACAGAGAAAGATTTGAAATACTTTCAAACACGACGTCACAAAGAAATGATGATGGTTTGCGGGCGTCTTACAATATCTCGTTACTTATAGCAAAATCCGGAAAACCGGAGTGAAGTTGATTTTGCCAGCCGTTGAAGAGGTTTTAAAAACTGTTTTACACAAACCTGCATCTGATATCATTAAAAGAATTCCCTTAAGCAACAATACTGTTGAAAGACGTATTGATGAAATGAGTTCTGATATTGAAAGCTTCTTATTAGTTATTTGCAAACGACCCATTTCTCTATACAACTGGACGAGTCAACTTTACCTGATAATGCAGCATTGTTATTGGCATTTGTTCGTTTTATTATGAATCAAGAAATCTACGAAGAACTGCTCTTCGCAAGAACTTTGATAACCGACACTAAAGGTGAATCAATATTTCATGTTTTGAAGGATTACTTCATTCAAAAAGCAATTCCTTTATCAAATATAATATCAGTAGCTACAGATGGAGCACCTGCCATGGTTGGACGTTATCGTGGATTTATAAGCTATTTAAAACAAAATGTGTCAGGGGTGTTAGCAATACATTGAGTCATCCATCGACAACATTTAGTTGCTAAATATTTGAGTGTTAGATTGCATGAATCACTTCATTTAGTCATTGATGCAGTAAACCGAATCCGAAGCAACGCGTTGAATACGCGCAGTTGTGTGAGGAAAATGACGAACACTTTCATCAATTACTCCTTCACACTGAAGTACGCTGGCTGACGAAAGGCTTATGTTTGACAATATTTTTTGCACTTTTTGAGACTATTTTAGAATTTCTGCATACTAAAGATGAAATTTAATGAAGAGAAAAACAGACATCGCCTATTTAACAGATTTGTTTACAAAATTTAATATGGTTAATTTGCAATTACAAGGCGACAGTTTAAATTTGATTAAATTTGATAAAAAGATGGACTTTATCTTATCAGCGTTTCTTGCCAGAGTTAAACTAATGAAGCAAAACATTGGACGGGGCGAATTTTCTCAGTTCCCCAATTTGTCACAGACAAGCTGCCAGGAAGACGACGTTTCAACTTACGTTCAACATTTAAATGCGCTCTATTCAGATTTTGAATCCAGGTTTGAGGATATTTTGACTATGGTAATACCACCGTGGATAATTAATCCATATGGTGACATAAAAGAAACGAATGTCACAATACAAGAGGAACTGACTGAACTAAGTACAAACGAAGAACTTAAGGTTCAGTTTAAAGACGGATATCAGCAATTCTGGCTGCAAAACAACATATCCGTTACTTATCCCATATTGTGGAATATAGCGAGGAAATTTTTAATTTCCTTTCGATCGCCATACCTAGTGGAAAGGGGGTTCAGCGCTGTTACCAATCTCCTAACGAAAAAAAATAAACAGACTGGACATCATTAGCCGAAGAGATTTAAGATTAACCCTTACAAAATTGACGTCAAATGTTGAAAATTTATTATTAAAGCATCAGGTTCATCCTTCTCACTAAAAATATTGACTTATTGCTTATGTTATTTTATTTATAGTTTATTTTATGTTTATTGGTGTATGACCAATAAATGCCCGCATTGGGAATAAGTGCCCGCATTGATTTTTTTAAAGAACCCCCTTTCTAGGAAATATTTTTCTTTTAAAATTATTCTGAAAATTCAAGGATAGGTACACACTAAAATTCGTAAATTTTTTGCCTATTTTTAGATAACTTAAACGTATAAGAAGCGGTTTTAATCAAACTAACAGTGAAATTATTGTAGAACACACGTTTATGTTATAATTAATAAACGAACTCGCTTATTGTACTATTTTAAGTAATGTTTATTTAATGTTACGTATATTTTACATAACAGATACAAAATTTTATTTTGAGTAGCTTTAATTTAAATTCAATTAATAAATGTATAAATTAACATGTGTTTTTACTTTAAGTTTTTAACACTAAACTTCAATACAGTTAGAAATTTACAGGAAATCAGGGGGGTAAGTACCCAACACGGAAAAGCATAGCAAGGGGTCTACGACACAAAGAAGTTTGGGGAACTCTGCTCTGAAGCATATCAAACTATTTTTTATGTATTGTATCGATCTTTAACCTATCTGCCTTAAATTTTCAACAAATCCTATATTTAGGTACAATTACACCAATGTTTATCATTTTCCATCTGTAATGTCGGACTGAAACAGAGTTATTTGATTTTCAATAGATGCATATATTTTTTACTCAATATGACGGGTCTTTAATATATATAGTCATGGCCTTCTCCATATTGTCTTTGGTTTATTAGAACATTTTGGCGCGGTGGTGTGAACAGAGTCGAACGCTTTGCAGTTCGTACCGCATCTCTATGTTTGAAAAGTGGATAAAACCTTCAAAACGAACATTCATGCATTGCTCGACTTGAAGAAGATAAATTTTGGTTATGGCATTTAACTTAAAAACATGGCAACGGAAACTAAGGTTATGGTAAAGTTATATGTCTCACATATACAGGGTGGCGCATCGGAAACGAAACATACATTTACAGGCAGCTCAGTTTTTTTTTGAAAAACGCTCAGATTCGTGTCCCCTTCGAAAACAAAATCGACGGGTCTGAGCGTTTCTCAAAAAAAAAAATGATAAATGCATCTGTTTCGTTTTAGATGCGCCACCCTGTATAAGAGTTGTATAATAAATTATTAAAATTATTTTTAAAAAATCATTACTATATTCAATGAATACCGGGAACTGGAAACTGTTCTATCTATGTTGAAAATGAGATTTTTTACAGCATGCGTATTTTCTACTGCACAAACATGATTGTTGTGAAAATTGTGCACTTCATGTAAAAGAGTATTTTGTAACATTTCAGGCTGAATATGTCTTCCATCATTACCTACTCGCTGTTCTTTCAAATATCCCATGTCACGGAGTCTAATAACTAGATTTACAAACATCCGTAAGGCCGGATGATTTCTTAAAGGAAACCTTTCCACATACAACCTCCATGCTGCGGCTGCATTTACGTTGGCACTCTCCGTATTATGTACACCTGTTCATTGTTATCGTCAACATGAGCCATTTTTTCGCGCAAAATAACCAAACAAATGAAAGTATCCGCACTATTAAAAGACTGATACAAATAATCGAGACTCGTACTGAAAACCATACCATAACGCAAACAGTTTGCCAAATTCATATAAACGATAAGAGTAGTAAACGAAAACCGCAAAGATTTTACATTTCAGTCGTCGTCAGTATTCAAAAATCTGTGTAATAAAATTCTTATTTTTTAAGATTTTTAATCTATCTTTTATTATGCAATTTTTATACAGGGTGTTTCAGTTTATTGTTGCATAACTTTAAGATTCGATAGAACTTTTAAAATTAATGCATAAAGTCTATATAAACATGGGTCGAAAAATGCGTGGCTTCCGAAATACAGGGTGTTTAAATTTACTTTTTAAAATAGTTTTTTTTAAATATTTCGAACAATATTTGATGTATAACAGTGAAAATTGGTATACAAGGGTTTTTTGGTACGACAAAACGAACCATGGACATAGAGCTTTACTGTAGCCGCTAGAGGACGCTCTGTACTGTACCTGTAAGGTATTAAAATGACCGAAAATTTTTTCTTAGTGCAATTTTTTGCTTTTTGAATAAAAAGACTGATTCTTCGCACTTTTCAACATCAAAAAGGTTTCTTGTGAGTTTTCGTTATTCGATTTTTAAGGTTCGATGCATTTTTAATTATTTATGATAAAATAACGTTAAAAATTCAGTATCTCGATAATTTTTAGAAGTAGGCTGTGCCTGCAAATATTTTTTAAATTGAAAGCAGAATAAGGTTAAACGTCAATTAGTTGACAGTTAGTTTTGTTGTCTGTTGAAACCTTAAACGTTTTTTTGCAATTGTGAATGCACGAAATTTAGTTTCTTTTACCTGTTTTTTTTGTAAGTTCTATAAAAATGCCATTTTTATTCTCCAATCAAGAGTTAGCGGATATTCATTTTGTGTATGGCTTTGTAAATGGAAACGCAGCAGAAGCAGCCAGAGAATACGCACGAAGATTTCCAAACAGACGACATCCAACTCTCTCAGTATTTGTAAGAGTGCATCGCCAAATAATTGAAAATGGTTTTGAAAATCTCCAAAGGGGTCAAAACATAAATGTTCGTCAGCGCAGATTTACCCGTATGATTCTGCGTGAGTTTGATAGAGATCCGACCACAAGTGTTAGGAGAGTTTCTGGTGCCTTGACAAGCCATGTTCACCGTGTCCTTAGAAATGACCATAGACGTCCTTACCATTTGCAACCTGTGCAAGGACTACAGCCAGGGGACGGAGAACGAAGAATCACATTTTGTCAGTGGATTCTTGATAGAACTGGTAATAATAGGGAGTTTTTAAGTAACGTTTTATGGACCGATGAGTCATGCTTCACTAGACGTGGAGTGGTAAATTTTCATAATCAACATATTTGGTCGCATGAAAATCCGCATGCAGTTCGGGAAAGAAATTTTCAGCATGAATTTAGTGTGAACGTGTGGATTGGTATCTACCGTAATCGACTATTTGGACCCTACCTCTTGACTGCAAGGTTAAATGCTGCGACCTTCTTGGAATTTTTAAAGGCTGAACATGCAAATATGTGGGATGACGTTATGTTAGATTTAAGAAGATTGGCCTGATTCCAGCTTGATGGTTGTCCAGCTCATTATTCGAGAATAGTTAGAAACTGGCTGGACGAAAATTATCCAGAAAGATGGATCGGCCGTGGAGGACCAGTCGCCTGGCCTCCACGATCCCCTGACCTAAATCCATTAGATTTCTTTGTGTGGGATTTCTAAAAGAAAAAGTGTACCAGACTCCCGTAACCACAAGAGATATGCTAATAGACAGAATCAGGAATGCATGTGATGAAATAAGGCCTTATTTGAATAATGCTATACCACGTTCGATCATTCGTAGATGTGAATTGTGTATTGAACAATTGGGTTTACATTTCGAGCAACTACTTTAGATTTTGTATGTTTGTCCTAACTATCCAATAGCATTTTAGTTGTAAATAATTAATTTAATTTGTTAAAAATAATATTGGAAAATTAAACAAATTAATATTCTGTTTTTTTGTGTTTATTTGGAGTTAGGAATTATTGCTGTGTTCAAAAACACAATCTAAACGATCATTTTAATAACTTGTAATGCCCAATTTCAAAAATGTTTGCAGGCACAGCCTACTTCTAAAAATTATCGAGATACTGACTTTTTAACGTTATTTTATCATAAATAATTAAAAATGCATCGAACCTTAAAAATCGAATTATCTCAAAAACGGCTAACTATAACGAAAACTCACAGGAGAGCTTTTTTATGCAGGAAAGTGCGAAGAATCAGTTTTTTTATTCAAAAAGCAAAAAGTTGCACTAAGAAAAATTTTTCGGTCATTTTAATACACTACAGGTACAGTATAGAGCGACCTCTAGCGGCTACAGTAAAACTATGCCCATGGTTCGTTTTACCGTACCAAAAAACCCTCGTATACCAATTTTCACTGTTATACATCACATATTGTTCGAAATATTTAGAAAAAACTATTTTAGAAAGTAAATTTAAACACCCTGTATTTCGGAAGCCACGCATTTTTCGACCCATGTTTATATAGACTTTATGCATTAGTTTTAAAAGTTCTGTCGAATCTTAAAGTTACGCAACAATAAACTGAAACACCCTGTATAAGTGATTTTTGCTATATCAACACTCTCGACGAGCCCTACAAGCGGTTAAAATAAACGACTCAACTTTGAAAATACCCTGTAAATAGTATAAGCTAGTAGTTTATGAAACAGTTCAAAATTTATCATGTAAGGCGTTGTATAAGTATGCTACAGGAGTGACTTAGACACCGCATTTTAGAGCAAATTTGCTGCAGATCCAAATTTGAATTTAACACAACATTAGGCCGGCACCAAAAGAGAGCTTTTATTGCTCGACTCTTCTTTTACCAGAGACTCGTAGCACCACTTTGCGTGTCCGACAACCTGCTTACCAATGGTGGTGATAACAGTCAAAGCATACACGACGCCGTTCAAAAAGCTCCAAGACCTCTGTCCGCTGTAGCTCGTCATACCCGCCTCATGAGCAGCATGTAACTCCTCCTCAAAGTTCCTCAGCTTATTCCGCGCTAGCGATTTCCAATCTTCTTCCCTCAAATTGTGACTCCTTATCCACAACATATCAATAAAGTCTCTTTTCACTCTTTTAACCCCACATTTGTAATAATTTTCAAAACTGCCTTCGGTGAATTTGAAAATCATGCCTCCCAATCCACAGAACACCATTATGAGGAATATCTCCAGCATACATCTGTTCCAAAGTACCTTGATAGCTTTGCATTCTTGTTTCATATGTGCTTTGTACGTCCTGTAGGATCTATAAAGTTCCATTGGCGAATAGAACTGGAATATTCGGAAGAGATCATATAAGCGGAAATCTGGTTTCATAATTGTTTTTCTACATACTACATTTGACGTCTTCGGGTCTAGAACCTCTATCACTTTATCGGAATACTGTCTTGGTCCTTTTCGTTGCCTTAAAGTGCTTGTCTGCTGTGGCATTATAGGGTTTATCTCCAAATATATTTCCTGCGTGATAGAAGGTATTTGGTCCATAGAGTATTTCCTAGGTCTGCCTTTTCCATTGATCAAATTAGCTTTTTTCATACTTTCCAGTAATTCTTCCTCGGTAAACTGATGCGGAGCAGACTGGCTTCTTTTTGCCTTCTCCGCTTTTCTGAACCTATCTCTTCCCACTTTCGCTGCACTTGTGATAGACTTCTTGGTTTTGTTCAGAAACGCAATCATTTCATCATGCGCCATGTCTGTCAAGCTCTTTTTTCTGTCTAGTGAACTGGTTTTGGATCTGGCGTTAAAGCTGTCGTTTCTGCTTATGCTAGTGCTTCCGTTGATAAGGCTTTCTGTTGGTGAAGTGCAGGTGCTTTCAGTCCAGCTTCTGCGGTTCATGTCGCTGCAACTAAAAAAATTAGAATGACATTAATTATAAAATTGATTCAAACAAATTTTATGGACAAGATTTATGTTCATGTAAGTCACAATAAATAATTTACACTTATACTAAGTGACATATAAATCCGATCACCCAGTTTAAATGGTTTTATTTTAATAAAAGTTGGTGAATGTATTTATCTTACTGTAAATAACAAGTGAAGAAATGTTCAGCCTTATCAGTTGGACATTCCGGTTTTTATACCGATTTTTTTTAATTCACTAACGCTCTAAAAATGAATATTTCAGCCGCAGTAAAGAATCAACGTTGGCGGATTTTGGTTCTTGACATCCTTTACGATCGGTTACGATGCCTAGAGTACGGAGACCTGTACGATTTCGTCAACTCAGTGAGTTTGATAGGGGCCGTATAGTGGGACTTCGGGAAGCTGGCTTTCTTTTCGGGCAATTGCAGTTAGAGTGCAAAGAAGTGTAGACACTGTGGTTAGGTGTTGTCAGGCATGGCTTCGAGAAGGCCGTACACAAAGATCAAGGGGCACTGGACGCCGCCGTAGAATATCCGACCGTGAAGGTCGCCGCCTAAGATTATTGGCCTTAAGGGACCGTTTCTCCACTACCAGGTCCATTGCAAATGAATGGTTTGCAGAACACTGAAGACCTATTGGCATGCGAAGTGTTTACCGACGAATGAGAAGTTTTGGCTTGTTTACATACTGGCCACACTGGGTCCTCCCTTTAACTCGAGAACACCGACGTAATCGCCTTGAGTGGTGCAGACAACGGTCACTCTGGGATCAGGAATGGAACAGTATTGTCTTTAGTGACGAGTCTCGATTTTGTTTAAGCATGCACGATGGTCGTGCCAGGGTTAGAAGGCGACGTGGTGAAAGGAGGAATCCACAGTTGTTTGTTGAAAGACATGTTCATGACACTGTTGGAGTTATGGTTTGGGGTGTTATAGCTTATGGTTCCAGGTCACCTTTAATCTTCATCAGAGGTAAGATGAACGCGCAGCGTTATATCTACGAAGTTCTAGAACCCCATCTTTTACCCTACCTTGACACCCTGGCAGATCCAACTTTCCAACAAGATAATGCCCGGCCACATGTTGCAAGAGTCACAATAGACTTCTTTCAACGTAATGATGTCACATTGTTACCATGGCCACCAAGATCTCCCGACTTATCCGAATTGAGCACGTGTGGGATATGATGGGTAGGAGATTGCTCAATTTGCAACGTCCTCCTCAGACTCTAGAAGCACTTCGAGAGGAGTTGGTGGTTGCCTGGAATGAGATACCACAGGACATTGACCACCTGATCAGAAGCATGCCTAGGCGCGTTGGAGAATGCGTAGCACATCAGGGTGCGTCCACACATTATTAAAGGACAAAGACCTTTAAAGCAGTGCAATCATTTTGAAATTTTTATCATTTACTTATTATGCTTCATTAAGTACTTATACAAAATTTTATTAAAATAAAACCATTTAAACTGGGTGTTCGGATTTATATGTCACTTAGTGTATAACTGGAAACTAGTATGTTATTTCAATATAAATTTGTAATAGTCGATCGAATAGTGTTCAGAAAAGTTTGAATAGAAATTGAGCATTCTCATATGACTGCAGATGATATCTTGTCCTTCCAGCCGCCTTTTGGTTTCAATTTAAATATATGATCAAACAAGCCAGTAAAACGCTATATGTATAGACGAAGTTTTACAACCACATCTGAATCTCTTTTCAAAAGCATCCGGAGTATATCTGCTTCAGAAGCCTCTTGGATATCCAGACCTTTCCCCTATAGAACATGTATGGGACATGATGGAAAGAACGATGCAACATTCACGACACTCTCCACAAACATTGGAGGCGCTACGAAACCAAATTCGGAAGAATAATAAATAATTGAAAGAGTTAGAATACCATCACAACCTTAGTAGGTACCGATCCATCACCACAAAGAAAATGATAACGTAAATCGGCTCACCCACTAATTTGTTCAGAGGTTTTCTGTAGTGCGACTAGGAAAGACATAAAGCAGACAATCAAAGAATCATTGAAATTGGATGGTTGAGGAGGATATTGGTGGAATGTCCTATAAAAGAGCGGAGGTGAGCATTGGGAGTTGCTTAGATCTTAGGAGCCATATTGGTTTTCCTGACAGAATACTGACATCTTTACCCGTCAAGGTTCTTGAACCCAGAGAAAGAAAAAACAACCTCAATTTTTTTTAATACCAAGTTCTCGCGAGGTTTATGTATAAATATTTAGGATGACAAATCTTAAGGCAAAGTGCTACGAGCCCCTTCTCACTTCAGTTGGCCCAACTACTGAAATCTTAGTTTTTTCTTATCAAACACAAATAATAAAAATAGTAGAAAACACCAACTTTATAACTCCCTAATCAAATTTGCAGCATAAAAATAACACATGTTGCAATTACAGCATATGAACCTATTTTCATTTCAATGCAAAATAAGTCTATAATGCGTGGCTGTGAAAAATAAAAGCCATGACAATTGTTTATATTAATCACAGCTGTCAGAATGCGTTTAAAATAGTTTTGGGTAGTTAAGGTTTTCAAAATGGTTAGAGGAAAGGTTATTAGTGAGAAAATTCGGTTACTGATAATTAAATTTTTTAATTCTGGGAAATCAAACTCTGAAATTGCAACTTTGTTAGACTTATCGCGGTACAGTGTGAGAAATATTGATAGAAGATATAACGTAACTGGTCAGCTAATATTAAGCCACGATATGTGAAAAAAAGTAATATCACAAATGCTGACCGAAGAGCATTAAGAAGAATAATCGTGAAAAACAGGCGTGCCAATTATTTACAATTAAGTGCTCTGTGGAGTGACGCTGTTGGCCAAGATTTTGTGTTTCAGCAAGATGGTGCAGCGCGCCATACCTCAAAAAACGCACGATAAAATGAATGGAAGAAAATAATGTACGACTTTTGAAATAGGTTTCTAGCAGTCCAGATCTGTCACTTATTGAAACTTTGTGGCACGAGATGAAAAACGTTCTACGACAACATCCTGCTCGTACAATCACCGAATTGAGACAAAAGCTTCAAGAAATATGGGATTGTTTTACACGAAATTTTTGTCAAAGCTTGGCTAACACTATGCCCCAAAGAATTTCAGCCATAATAAAAAATAAAGGTGATGTTACCCAATGGTAATCTTTCAATTGTTGCTTTGTTAACTTCGCGCATTTATTCGCACATTGTTTATTTGTTCAGATGTTCTATTAGTTATAGGTCTAAGTGATTTCAAATATGTATTTTCTACGAATAGAGTGTGTATGTTTTGGTACAAATCTTAAAGTGGGCACAACTGAAGTGGGAAGGGGCTCGTACATCAGTATCGTCAGCGGTGTGTTCTACTCGTCTACAGTTGTTTGTACCCTAGAGCAATCAACCACAGAAAAACACAGACTCATTCAACTCACACCGCATACCTTTCCGGAAAATATATATCTTTCAGCTAACTGTAGCTAATCTCCAAGAAGCAAAAATCGTATTAACAAGATTTCTTTGGGATCATCATAGCAGCCGCGGTGTTCCGGCATTTAGGCTTCTGCCTGCGCGGCTGTTTCGATATAAAAAAAAAAAAGCAAATCCTACATATGAAAAGAATACACGATTCCTGTGAATTAAATTATAATTCAATTACTATTCTAACTGCAACAACTTAACGCAAAGTTTCTCCAAGGTTAACTTTCTCAGTTATGGGATAGATAATAATAGTCAAACAATCTCCACTTTTTTATAACGGAAGCTAATAGCCGATGAAGCCGTGGAAAAGATATATTTAGCAGACATTAAAATGCTGCACCAAGTATAAATCTGTCGCAGCCTCTGAATTAACGTGAGAATTGGATAAAGAATAAGACCTGTGCTCTTACCGCGTTCGCTACCACGTTTCTACAAAAAAAATTAAGAAATTCCACCAGCTGCTACTACCTTTACACGAAGCAGACGTAAATTCAGAGGAAAATGTTGATAGTGGAATTCCAATGGTAGGAAGCTCCATTTACTTTGAAGTTGAAACCCTTACGACAAAAGGTGCTATCAAAGATTTTGCCCCTTTTGTCACTTCAGCACATACCAAATCTAGATTATTAAAAATAGTGTCAACTTTAAAAGCTTGTTTGTTACGTGGTCAATTTACAATGGAAAACTACACTGGAAACGAAAAAATTGACACGCTGTTGATTTATGGGGAAGCTAGAACAAAGGTTACTGAGGCAGCAAGCAATACCGTCAATTGTTTGTCATGGCTAACTAGAATAATAGGACTTAGTTCATCATAGGTACACCGAATGCGGATATACTCGTATTTGTTGTTACGTATGATCTTTTCTTACAATTATTCAGACAAATAGTGAAAATAAGATCAGAGTCTGTGGTGTCAAATTATTTGTACGAATGTATATTAAAAAAAGCCAACGGGCTACCCCCTTTCTATTTGGAAAAAAACAAGTAAATTGGAAAAATCATTAAATATAAGGTCGTTCGCTCCAAAAGCTTATTTCCTACCTGTTACTTGAGGAAAATGAAGCGATAGCATTCTAGATCGAAACATAAAAATTGAAATAGAAATGAGTATAATTGTCAAATATCGACAAGTGAGGCGTTGTTGAGTTCATAATGTCATTTTCGATAGAAACAAGTTAAATATTTAATATACAGGGTGGCGCATCGAAAACGAAACAGACGCATTTACTGGCATCTCAGTTTTTTTTTTGAAAAACGCTCAGAGCCGTCGATTAGCCGTCGATTTTGTTTTCGAGGGGGACACAAGTTTGGTATATAATCACGTTAGCACGTGCAGCCCCCTAAGCGGGGGTGACACCACCCCCAAAAGCTTAAATGGAAAGGGGGGTCGAGTGATACCTTATTTTAAAGTTACTGTTCTCATGTCACTCATTAAGTATTTCTGCTGTTCTATTAGCAAAAATATTTCGATAACTTCAACTCGTTCTGCTGTGGAATATACCATGATTAATCTATGTAACAAAGCGTTACAAGTTATTTTAGCAACAAAGTTTGGTCAAATCAATCGAAAGCTATGTACTCAATTCCTATTTAACTTAAGTACGAGATATTTCCTTATCTTTCTTCAAGAAATAACTTTTTTGCCACAAAAAAAACGCTCCAATAGCTATTTTCAACAACAAAATGATAAACAAACCATGGGCGTAGTGAAGAAAAGCATTAACTTATTAAGTAAATTCTTTTAGTCAAATTTCTTCTGAAAGTAGTACAAACCAATCTGATGTACCTATTAAAGTCTACTTTAAGCTTTAAATCAATAAATACTGAACTGAAGTACATTAGTTTTATATCATTAGAAAGGGAATTGAAAGACCTTTAAAATAAGGTATCACTCGATCCCCCCTTCCATTTAAGATTTTAGGGTTGGTGTCACCCCGCTTAGGGGGCTGCACGTGTTAACGTGATTTTTTGCCAAGCTTGTGTCCCCCTCGAGAATAAAATCGACCGGTCTGAGCGTTTTTCAAAAATAAATTGAACTGCCAGTAAATGCGTCTGTTTCGTTTTCGATGCGCCACCCTGTATAAAAATCGAAAGTTGGAGCCGGTTCCGCTCAAACCGGAAGTACGCCAAAGCAAGTGAATATATAAAAAAATGTCGACTCATCGCAACCTCCAAATTTCGTTTTTCCATCTTCAAGAATAAAATAGTTATGTGGGTGAGCCGCATTGGAGAATCACCCAGTATATTGCTTCATTATTTTCCACTTCTTGTTCTGTATTCGATACAAGTGGAAGGGCAATCAACCAAGAGCACAGCACTTAGGCCACATTGGGGCTCTTGTACGTCCCTCCCAGGGGTATCTTAGCTCTGCCCTTACTCTGGCCATAGAAGGCCAAAGTTGCTCCAAAATGGAAAGGTAGAACAGTTGAGCAGTCATAGAGCAAGTGCTTGGCTATCTCATAGGATATATCAAAAATTCCTTAGCGAATGAGTAGCCTGATGTATCATCCCACATGTTCTTGAATATTTTGTTACTATGATCTTTTTCAGAAATTGGTTGCAACGGGTAGAATATATACTAAGTGACATATAAATCCGAACACCCAGTTTAAATGGTTTTATTTTAATAAAAGTTGGTGAATGTATTTATCTTACTGTAAATAACAAGTGAACAAATTTTCAGCCTTATCAGTTGGACATTCCGGTTTTTATACTGCTTTTTTTTAATTCACTAACGCTCTAAAAATGAATATTTCAGCCGCAGTAAAGAATCAACGTTGGCGGATTTTGGTTCTTGACATCCTACGATCGGTTACGATGCCTAGAGTACGGAGACCTGTACGATTTCGTCATAGGGGCCGTATAGTGGGACTTCAGGAAGCTGGACTTTCTTTTCGGGCAATTGCAGTTAGAGTGCAAAGAAGTGTAGACACTGTGGTTAGGTGTTGTCAGGCATGGCTTCGAGAAGGCCGTACGCAAAGAGCAAGGGGCACTGGACGCCGCCGTAAAACAACAGACCGTGAAGATCGCCGCCTAAGATTATTGGCCTTAAGGGACCGTTTCTCCACTACCAGGTCCATTGCAAATGAATGGTTTGCAGAACACGGAAGACCTATTGGCATACGAAGTGTTTACCGACGAATGAGAAGTTTTGACTTGTTTTCATACCGGCCACACTGGGTCCTCCCTTTAACTCGAGAACACCGACGTAACCGCCTTGAGTGATGCAGACGACGGTCACTCTGGGATCAGGAATGGAACAGTATTGTCTTTAGTGACGAGTCTCGATTTTGTTTAGGCATGCACGATGGTCGTGCCAGGGTTAGAAGGCGACGTGGTGAAAGGACGAATCCACAGTTTTTTGTTGAAAGACATGTTCATCACACTGTTGGAGTTATGGTTTGGGATGTTATAGCTTATGGTTCCAGGTCACCTTTAATCTTCATCAGAGGTAACATGAACGCGCAGGAGATTGCTCAATTTGCAACGTCCTCCTCAGACTCTAGAAGCACTTCGAGAGGAGTTGGTGGTTGCCTGGAATAAGATACCACAGGAGGACATTGACCACCTGATCAGAAGCATGCCTAGGCGCGTTGGAGAATGCGTAGCACATCAGGGTGCATCCACACATTATTAAAGGTCAAAGGGGTTTAAAGCAGTGCAATCATTTTGAAATTTTTATCATTTACTTATTATGCTTCATTAAGTACTTATTATTTTACAAGATTTTATTAAAATAAAACCATTTAAACTGGGTGTTTGGATTTATATGTCACTTAGTATATATAAAGAGGTTCTGGGCCCATAATTCTGGTTTCGCAGCCCTTTTTGTCAGTCTATCAGCTATACTGTTACCTTTGAATTGTGACTCAGGCAACCGTTAGGTCATTACTGATCAAAAGTACTTTATTATAGTAGTGCAAAACAAAATCCAACCTACCTCAGCGCCCTGCCGTTGGTCTCCGACTTCGACTTGAACCTCTTCGGCCTCCTGGGTCGTTCGGGTGTTTTCGGCCTAGCATCGACCGGTACCTCCTCTTCGGAAGTGGTCGTCTTCTCCTCAACATTTCGTGCAGGTGTCGGTTCGCGCCTGGTCAAGCTTGTGCTTCTCTTCTTGGTGAACTTCCTCCTCTTTCTGGCCACCGAGTCACTGAGTACTTGCTCGTCTGTCACCATGGCCTCTATGCGGGCCATGTCCACGCCATTTTTGACGCTGCTATCGCCATTTTCGATCGCGTGCTCTGCGGAAGGTGCTGGCGACGCGTCCATGACGGCACGACTAAGTTATTTTTGGACCGCGCACCAGATTCAAATTTAAATTCGGGGACAGAGATGGAGCCAGATTCGTACACGGTCGACGTATTTTTGGAACGGGACGCCAGGTTATGGAGGACGCGACTTTCGGATGGTATTTTGCCGTACAGGGTGGTTTGAAAACAATGGCTTACGGGGTTGTTATATAAAACTGAGCCAAAATTAAAAAAAAAATGCTTGATGTCTGAGTAAAATCCATTTTTTCTCCATGTTTATTGCAACTTTTATAATCCATATATGATTATATTAACTTAACATCACCTACCGTGTGTTTATAGTTTATCATACATTTGCACAATTGCACTTCCATATGGAAATAAAACAACACGGTAGGTAGTTTTAAATGACTTTATTGTTTTTCGAAGTATTCTCCACGAAGATTAAAACACATCTGCATGCGCTCGAACCAATTTTCGAAGCACTTATTCCACTCGTTTGCTGGCAGACCCAAAACGGCATTTCTGAATGCTTCTTCTTCGATATTGGAATTTTCTCAGAAGAAATATTATTGTTAAGAGAAGAAAACAAGTCCTGCGCAGTAAGTAGTCTGTCCTTTTAGTTGAATAAACTTCAAAGGATCTTCTTTAATCGTGAAATCACTAAAAACCATCCTGACGAACAAGGCGATGTGAGACGTGTCAATGACATCTGCAGTGAAAAATAAGCACAGTTATCGAAACTGAGCGCCGCTCCTTGCTTATTTATTCCGTTCAAAGTAATCGAGATCGTTCTCGAACAGATCGCTCACCGCAGCGTTGCCGCTTCTTGCGTTTCTCATGAGAATTTACAAAATTTACGGGTTGGCGGTGAGGGTCGAATCTTAGACTCCCTGTATAACCACTTTTTGATACCACTAAGACCCCATAGACATTCTGTACATAAACAAGTTCTAGCAGGCCGCACTGTAATGCTTCAAAAAGTTTTGTATTCACGAACGTGTCCTTGAATGTTGAGAATACGATAAATACATTTGTCAATTCCAGCCCATTAGCGCCATACGTAGACCCCGCTGTTCACAGCGTACTGAAAGCTTTCCAGAAAAATATCCAGGCCAGCAACGCCGATCCGACCTCAAAGTGGGAGACCAGTCACAGTTGGAACTCGATTTTACAGGCAGTAAAAGTGCCGGGCGACAAGCATGCACTGGAGGGTGAGCAAACCAAAGTATACTAAATACTAATAGTTGGATCGCTCAGCGGGTTTGCAGACACTGGAAGATTTCTCTCAGGAAGTAAGGCTAGAGAGACAACCGACCTACCACATTCGAGCAGGATTGTCCCCCTTGTTCAAAACGATTTATGGATTATTATACAGGGTGGCGCATCGAAAACGAAACAGCTCAGTTTTTTTTTGTAAAACGCTCAGACTCGCCGCTTTTATTTTCGAGGGGGACACAAGTTTGGCAAAACATCACGTTAGCACGTGCAGCCCCCTAAGCAGGGGTGACACCACCCCCAAAATATAAATGGAAAGGGGGGTCGAGTGATACCTTATTTTAAAGGCAATTCCCTTTATAATGATATAAAATTTTCAACAACAAAATGATAAACAAACCATGGGCGTAGTGGAAAAAAAGCATTTACTTATTAAGTAAATTCTTTTAGTCAAATTTCTTCTGAAAGTAGTAAAAATTAATCTGATGTACCTATTATAAAAACTACTTGACCGACCTACTCCAATTTTGTTGTGGTTATTTAGAAGTATAAGGCCTGCGGATTTGAAGAATTTCTAATATCGTGAAATTATCGTCGCATTACCAACAACCTGAATTTTGCCTAGCTTTTCGGCAATAACTTTTTTAGTATTAGTCGGATGTTTTCGCGTGTGGCCTCATTTTTTAGGTCTCATAAATCTTATTTTGAAAGTTTTTTCGTCCCTGCCAACACTTCTGATCGAATCTCAAAAAAACACGTTTTCACTTTCTTTGTTGCCGAATCGAAAGTTTAAAATACTCCTTTGAACAACTTGTATCATTAAAACCAAGCTTCGCAATTATTTCGGGGAAATTTGCTAATAACGGGTGATTTTTTAAGAGGTATAGGATTTCATTTTAAAAAAAAACACAAAAAATTTGAAAAAACGATGAAATCTTTATTTGAGTCGATAGAACGGTCGATATAATTTAATGTTTAAAGGTTATTTCATGTAAATGTTGGCCACGGCTCCGCTTTAGATGGCCCATGCGCAAGGTCCAATTTTGGCACACTCTCTCCAACATATCGGCCGGTATCTCACGAATAAATGCTTCAATATTGGCTTCCAGTGCGTCAATCGTTGCTGGTTTATCCCTGTAGACATTAGCATTAACATGGCCCCACAAGAAATAGTCCAACGGCGTTAAATCACACGATCTAGGCGGTCAATTGACGGGCCCCAAACGTGAGATAAACTGTTCACCGAACTCGCCTCTCAATAGGGCCATTGTTTCGTGTGCGATGTGGCATGTGGCACCGTCTTGTTGAAACCACAGGTCCACCAAGTCCAGCTCTTCCATTTTGGGCAAAAAAAAGTTTGTTATCATCGCACGGTAGCGCTCGCCATTCACAGTTACGTTCCGGCCATTGTCGTCTTTGTACGGCCCGATGATGCCACCGGCCCATAATCCACACCAAACAGTGATTTTTTCGGGATGCATGTGTAGCTCTTGCAATGCTTCTGGCTGGTCTTCACTCCAGATGCGGCAATTTTGCTTGTTCAACCAGAAATGAGCTTCGTCGCTGAACACAATTTTTCGATAAAAATGTGGATCTTCCTCCAACTTTGCCAGCGCCCATTCTCCAATTGGGAGGTCGTGTGGCTTCAGTTCTTGCACCAGCTGTATCTTATAAGGTTTTACACCCAAATCCTGTCGCAAAATTGTTCACGTAGTGGAGTAACAGAGGCCCAATTGCTGCGAACGGCGGCGAATCGACATTTCAAGGTCATCACTAACACTGGCGGATACAGCCGCAATATTTTCTTCAGTCCTCACTCTATGTCCGCGTGTTGGTGGTTTAATGTCCAATAATGTAAACTGGGTTCGAAATTTAGTCACAAGCTCCCGAATAGCGCCCTCAGTAGGCCGACCAAATTGCCCATAAATTGGAAGCAGTGCTCGATGCACTCTCTTAACCGAGCATGAACTTTGATAGTAAAATTCAATAATTTGCAAGCGTTGTTCGTTCGTAAGTCGATTCATGGTTAAATTATAGACCAAACTGAACAAGTTTGACAATGACACAAGACACGATTCATGCGTCATCTGTCAAAAACAGTGTCGCCAAAAAGATACTAGCAAAAAAATCACAGACTAACATCGAATTTTGGAAACTTTGCTCAATTACAATACTTCCTCCTCAGTACGGAAGTGAATGTTTTTTTGAAAGTTCAAGGTACTACCGTCAAGATATTGTTTGTTAACAATTAAGTGTTCTCAAATATGAGTCAAAGTTTGATTTTTCTACCGCTTTTGGAGACACACAGGAATAAAGATGCGCATCTATTATTAAACGTTCATTTACTTATAAGCAAAGCTCACCTAAAATTGAAATAAAGTTATATAGGTTGCATAGAGTTATTTGAATTGCATTAAAGATTAAAGAGAAATTGCACCACTAGCATCTGGTATAATACCAGATGCAATAAAACGAGTAACATCCTCACTTACGTCACAGAGAAAATTAAAAATATCTGTGGCAGAAGTTGCAGAATAAAATAAATATTTAGCGGCCTAGAAATTATTGATTGATTTTGTCATAACACATCACAGTTGGGTATATTTGTTGTTTTGAAGTACGGATGTGGGGCACAAGCAGGATATTCATATTTATTTGTATAATATACCACACAACTTCAGTTTCTGCACATGTCCTCATCACTATGTACGAGTACAAGGAAGACCTAGACTCGAGTAATAATAATAATAATAATATAATAATAATAATATTCTTTATTGCCAGCAAAATTTTAAAGAAAAAACATAAGCAACGTCAAAAAAAAAATGTAGTACAATACCAACGGGATATTATATGTATGTTTACAATATTAAAAACTATTAAAATGACAAATAAAAGTCCAGTATGTCACAACTTAGCTTAAAATGTTATTAAAATAAAATAATGGAGCTCAAATGTTAAAATCAATGCTGTACAAACATCTGTCCAGCAAAAACTTTTTCACCGCTCTTTTAAACCTAATAGGCTTGCTCTCGGATTTTATATCTATAGGAAGCATATTGAAAGTTTTGACAGCCATGTATAATGGAGCCCTCTTAAAAAATGCGGACGAATGTGCAGGCACACTCAGATTTTCTCTGCCTCTGCTCACAACGGTCATACTTTTAGCAAAATAATGTGCGTTACTATTAAAAAGATACATATGCTTTTTAACAAATAAAACAAGTGCCAAAAAATATAGTGATGGAACCGTCAAGAATCCCAATCTTGAAAAATGTTCCCGACATGATGTTTCGAGGATGGCGTCTCAAAATGCACCTCAGGATGCGCTTTTGCGCTATAACAAACTGACATGGCACCCCGCGAAGAGCCCCAGAACATTATACTATAAGTTAACAATGACTGTACAGATGAATAATAAAATTGCCGTAAAGTGTTCAAGGAAACCTCATTTCGTAGCCGCCGCACCAACGCACAGAAGCTGTGGAGCTTACCAACCAAAACAAATGTTTGACAATCCCAATTCAGACTCGAATCCAGGTAAATGCCCAGTAACTTTATATCGGTCATCTCTGGTATTGGTCCGCTATTGCAACGAACCAACAGCGACTAATCCCTGGCAGATGATTTACTGCACGTGAGAAGTCCAGTTTTATCAGCATTCAATCTTAATGCATAATCCTTGCACCAATCCTGCATGGTCCCCACTGCACAAGAACAGACCCCGGACAAGCCAGACATGTCCGACGCAGTCAGCACAACAGTAGTGTCGTCCGCATACTAGCAAATCAGACCTTCCATAAATCTGTCACGAAGACCATTCACATAGAGCAGGAACAACAACGGTCCCAGAATTGATCCCTGCGGCACACCCTGTTTAATCAAGGTAACTGATGAAAAATGCCTAACACCATTTTGGGTTATACAGACAAGCTGCTCCCTACTGTCAAGGTATGACTCTATAAGCTGTGCACATTTACCACGTATTCCATGTTTAGACAGAATTTTAAGGAGTATTTGATGGTCTATGGTGTCGAAGGCCTTAGACAGATCAAAAAACAGACCGGCCACTTTTTCATTCTTATCCACATTTTCAACAATATAAGTAAGAACTTTAAATAGTGCTAGTTGTGTGGAATGATTTGGGCGAAAGCCAAATTGATTTCTTGTTAAAATGTTGTATTTCTTGATAAAGTTCATTATCCTTGAATATATGACATTTTCGAAGACCTTTGACACAGAAGATAACAGTGAGACTAGTCGAAAATTAGCTATGTCATGCACATCTCCTTTTTTGTAAATGGGAACCAGTTTGGCCCTCTTTAAATGTGACGGAAAAATTCCTGAAAACAGACATTCTTTAATAATATAAGCTAACGGTTCGCATATATAGTCAGATATCTGCTTTAGAACTACCACCGGGATTTCATCCAAACCAGCTGAAAATTTGTTTGGCAAACTCGCCAAAGTTAGTTTAATTTCTCTATTGTCAACAGGAAGCAAAAATAAAGTGGGAATCGCACTAGCTTCCGAAATATCAAGACTGTCATGGGATTGCGGAGAGATATCAAACCTTTCCTGAAAGGCATCAGCAGTTTTTTGGGGATCTTTTATTATTACACCATTATTAAGTTTTAGCTCAATGGAACGCTTAATTTTTGTATTAGTTTCTGCGTTTAAAATACTCCACGCAGTTTTTGTCATGTTTTTTGAGTTTAATATTTTACTTTCATTTAGAGCTATTTTGTAATTCGACAGAAATTTCCGGTATTCTTGTCGTACAATTTTATACTGATTATATACTCTAGGGCTATGTGTAATCTTAGACCAAACATACAAATCTTTTATATAATTAGAGTATGCTTTTATCTCCTCATTTACCCAGTTTTGTTCTTTGAATTTTAATCGATAGGTACATAATGGAAAAGAAATGTCAAAATAATGAGATAGTACGTTAAAGGAGGTTTGATATTTCTCCTCAATCCCAACTGAACCATATACATCATTCCAGGTCTCGGAGCTCAGCAGATCTTTGAAGCGCTGGATGTTGGAAGCCGCGAAAAAACGTTTCCTTGCATAATTGATGTTAGGAGCCTTGCTATTTAATGTAAAATTAAGGCTCTGACCATAATGGTCTGATATATTTATTTTTATAATGCTACATTCTGTATCAGGTATATTGCTAAACATATTATCAAGCTGAGTGCCCTGAGTGGGACCTATCCTCGTTATGCCTTTCACGTGGGACACTAGTCCATAACTGGCCATAAGCTGTGTCACAGAAAAAACTCCATCATAATGAACTAAGAAATCTACATTAACCAGCAGATATTTATTTGGGGCATACACATAATTTAAAACTTCATCGAGCGTAGATAGAAATAAATCTAAATTCCCTGTAGGTGACCTATATATACAAATCACAATATAATGTTTATTATTTAATGTAAATTGTGAAATGCAATACTCACAGTCTTTTTCAATACACTCAGTGTTAGCCCTTAAGCTTTCAACGGTAAGGTCTGAGTTTACAAAAATTGCTGTGCCTCCGCCACGGAATTCTGTTCGTGATGAATGGCTGATGGGCAGATAATTGTCTAAAACTACAGAGTTTATATCATTTCGCTGCAGCCAATGCTCTGAGACACAAAAAATGTCTGGTTTCTTTTCTGCAAGCAGAACATTTATTTCCAAAATTTTGTTAGTTATACTTTGTACGTTCAGGTGCATAACAGATATACAATGACTCTCAGAGCCCTGGCTGCCAGAATCAGTTTCTCTTGTGGAGGGTGTTTGGTGGTCGCAGTGTACATTAGTTACCCTGTATGACATCTGTCTAAAAAATTTCTACCCAACCCAAAGTTAAACCGTCCAAATGCAACACCCTTGGGCCAAAAAGCGGTATTATATATCTTGTCTTTAAGTTCAGGATTTACACCCACCATAAAGTTCTTTTTTCTACTCTTTTGAGACTTTGGTATACATTGTTTTACCTGTATTTCATTGGCAGTAGTACTTACGTGTTTTACAATATAATCGCTGATTGTATTTTCTGTGATGGTTTCATTAACTTTCGACAGGAAAAGCCAAATTTTTTTATCTTTATTATCCCCGGCAAGATTAAATTCTTCGTCATTACATTCACCATATTTCAGGGACTTTGTTTTTGATGGTTATATTTTTGTTTACGCGTTTGTTTTCTTTGGAACTCGAAACGACCTTCGAATTCTTCTTTTTGTTGTTCACTAGCGATGTCTTCTAGTTCCGGAGCAGTCGCCACTTCATCGTTGCAGACTTCAGACCGGATTTCTGTATTACTGACAGTTTGCCTAGAGGTCACGACCGTCGCCTCACTGCTGGCACTGCTGGCTTCACGTTGCTTAGCCGTAGTGTTTATGTTTACAAGTAAGGGGTTCTTGTCCTCAAGTTCCTTGATAATCTTTAATAAATACTTAGTTTCATTGTCGATGGAGTTCTGCGAATCTTCGTTTTCAGTGGCTTCGTGTTTGCAAGTCGCTTTCTTATAGGAAGCTGCTTGCACCATACATGCGGGATGGAAGACATCTTGGCAAAACTTGCACTTTACGTAATTTAAAATACTTCTACTGCAGTGTTTACAAGTAATATCGGCGGATTTCGGAAGAGCTCGCGAATTGGCACCCTTACTCGGCGCCATCTTACTATATACTGGTATCGTTTGTGGTGCTGCGGCCACAACTACATTGAAAATGATGGATTCTGTTCAGAAGACGCGTCGATGATTCTTCTCTAACGGACGGTCTCGGCACACTTTGCTCCTCTATCGTTACGACAACGGGCTTTGCTCCTCCTAGACACATATTTTTTATTGCTTAAAACGAGCTTTATGTCACTGAGCCGCTGATTGGCCCACCCGGTATAATAACACATAGCTGTAGTCTTCAAAATCGTGAGTGTGTCACACTTTTCAGCCAGTTTTAGACAAGAATTAGCGTGGGCTTGGACTCTAATGCAGAACACCGTTCCACTAAAGTTCTCTTTACTGACAGTAAAATGAAAATGTTTATTCGGCCCGTTACACCTCCACGTTTCTACGCTTCATTTAATGTTATTTCTTTGGAATGGGGGCAAAATTGTTGAACGCGATTCTCAATTATATTTCGCTCCGACCCAGGTATCTATTATTTTATTGTTGCTTTCTTTCGTTGTTGCAATTACGTTCACGATGCACAAGTTAAATAAGTTGAATAGTTTGGATCGATTTAGATTAGTTAAAGATGCGAAAGTCAACTAGATTGATATTGTTTGTTAACGCCACCGTAATTAGTTTTGCTTGGGCCGTACATTTTAACACTAATGAACAACAAGGGATTCACAAGATACACTGATCAACAGCCAAAAAGTATCCTAAATAAAATCAACAAAATATTACTATTTTTAATGTGCTAAAACCGGAATGAAACTTATTTTTTCAATATTAGTTTTAGAGATACGGTAATTACAGTGAAAGCTCCCATAAGCGGACACTCACGGTTCCGTAACTTTTGTCTGCTTATGGGAGGTGTCCGTTTAAAAGAGAGTATGTAAGTATAGAGAATAAATAACGGGGTATATAATCATGAGGAAATGAGGTATTATAATCATGAGAAAAATGAAAGTATGTATTTATGCTATATATCTATATAATATATGTACATATACGCATACAAAAACATAAATGCTTCAATACATGGTACGAGAATTTAAAAAAACATTATTCTTTAGCTTGTTGAAAAAAGTTTAAAATGTTTGTCTGACGAAATTTCACCATCTTTTGCTGAAGGAGACAATTTTCGTAATAACTTTCTAAATTTTTCAAATGTTGAAATGCAGTGAAATCATCTTTAGCAAATTTTTTCAATATACAAATATGATTTAGAGCTTCTCCATATGAACTTATCGTTTTTGAACCGCTTAGTGAGTCCACTAGTTCCACTTCTTCTTCTGAGTCGTTTGGACTACCATATTCAAGTTGGCCTGGGCTTTCTACATCCAAATTCGAAAAGTTGCCAATGGCATTTTATTCTGTTGTTATGTTATTGTCTATGGCCAGGAAATCATCTACTTTCTGGGGATCTGCTACTCCTAAATGTTTGGCATGTCGCAATAACTGAGCAAGTGTCGCTAAGGGCAGATCGTCTTCAGCATCGCAATAATTTTGCTCAGCAAATTCTGAGCTACATTCACTTTTTCTGAATCCAGCTTTGCCAAAACAGTTTTTAATTGTAGAGGAATTTACTTTATTCCACGCTGTTTTTATAAAATACAAAGCTTCTAACACATTGATATACTTTGTAAGCTCAGATAAGCTTTGACCATCGTCAATTTTTGTTAAAATATGTTTTAAAATCAAGTGCCGATAATAAAATTTAAAGTTCTGTATGACACCTTGATCCATGGGCTGACAAACAGAAGTTGTGTTTGGCGGTAAAAATATAATTTTCACATTTTTCATTTTCATATCACGAGGATGAGAGCATGCATTGTCTAAAAATAAAAGAACTTGCCTTTTTTGAATTCTCATTTTCCGGTCGAATTCGACTAACCACTCAGACATGATTTCTCGGGTCATCCATGCCTTTTTGTTGGATTTCCAAGTCGCTGGTAGATCCTTAATAGCAACGTTTTTTAAAGCACGGGGACGAGCCGCTTTCCCGATCACAATCAAATCGCATTTTTCACCGGCCATATTTGCACAGAATAAAATGGTTAGTCTATCCTTAGACAACTTTCCACCCACACATGTTTCTCCTTTAAAGGACAGAGTTTTGTCGGGCAATGCGCGAAAAAAAAGTCCACTCTCATCTGCGTTGTACACATCTTCTGGTTTGTAGCCAAGCAACATGGACGGAAGTTTCTCCAAAAATTGTGACACATCAACTTGATCTACTGCAGCACCTTCGCCAGATATGCATTTGAAACTCACACTATGTCTCTTGCGCCACTTTTGCAGCCACCCGTCGGACGCACTGAAATTATGATAGCCCAAAGTAGTGGCGATTTCTTTAGCTTTCATTTTCACTAACGGCGCTGAGATTGGAATGTTCTGACTTCTAGCTTTCACAAACCACTCAAAACATGTTTTGTCTATAGCAAAACCTTCCTTTTTTAAAAAATCCTTCTTTTGATTTATATTAGTTCCTGATTGCCATTTACTCCTGATATCTTCCTTATTTTTGGCAATTTCAGCTGCTTGCGTTTTCCCAATATTAAACCTCTTTGCCAAATGACGAACTGAAACACTTTCTCTGTCTAATACGTTAACAACTTCCATCTTTTCCTTTAACGAGAGCATCCTTTTTTTTGGGGCCATTTTACAGTTACAATAATAAAATACGTAACTCAATCAACTACGAATTTGCCTGAATTGAAGACAAGCCACAAGATTACATACAGGCTACCCAACGAAATGCGTAAATGGGGAATCACCTAATATAAATCGGGGAATTACCGAATTTTATGTATGTAGATATGTGCATTGCAATAAGCGGAACTAAAAAATCGTCCGGGTATTAGAGTTTCGCGTCCGCCTATGAGAGATTTTTTGATCACATACAGGAAAATCTAGTGTCCGCGTCCGTTTATAAGAGCGTCCGTTTATCGGAATGCATTTAACATTGAAAATTGATGGCTGAAATTCGGTTCCAGGAACTTTGTCCGGTTAAAAGAGATGTCCGCTTATAGGAGCTGTCCGCAAGGAGAGCTTTCACTGTATATGTGTTCCTGCTGTGACAGTATTAATATACTGTAATTCACAAGAATGCACGTGCTACATTTTTATATTTGGCAAGGAAAGATGATGTAATCGGCATGATTGTGTTACGTTACACATACGTGTACATTATATTGTTTTATATTAGCCATTTTTTCCTCAGTTGGCTGACAGCGTTCATGCAAGATGTCTCGAAAGTGTGTAAACAATCCAGATCAGTTTTGTTACGTGTGTGGTGATGTGACTTTTGCGTCTCAGAGACGGTCTATTACTCCACTAATAACAAAGGCATATCAGCTTTATTTCGGTTGTAAACTAGGTGATCAAGACAAACAGTGGGCACCCCACATCTGCTGTAATACATGTGCTTCAAGTCTGAGGAGCTGGTTAAATGGCAAAAAACGCGCTTTGCTGTCCCAATGGTTTGGAGGGAGCCTACAAATCATATTAATGATTGTTACTTTTGCATGGTACCTTGTGTTGCACAAGCCACAGGTGTGTCCAAGAAAAAAAAATAGGTTATTAACTACCCAAACATACCATCTGCGATGAGACCTGTGCCTCACAGTAACGAAAATCCTATTCCAAAACCCCCAGAATCCTACACTTGCGAATCAGAAAACGAATCAGATCATGACGATCGAGTGATTCGTCAGGAAGAAGATATGCCATCAACGTCAAGAGATCCTGATTTTATACCGAGCACGTCATGCCACCAACCGCACAAAATAACACAGTCAGAATTAAATGATCTTCTAAGAGATTGAGAACTTCCAAAATGTAAGGCAGAGTTATTTGGATCAAGACTGCAGCAGTGGAACTTGTTAGAAGACGATGTTTCGGTATGTGTTTTTCGTAAACGCCACAAAGACTTAGAACCATTTTTCAATATGGAGAATAACTTGGTTTTCTGTAGTAACATTAACGGCTTACTGTCGGCTTTAAATATAAACTATAACCCAGAAGAATGGAGATTGTTTATAGACAGTTCAACATTGAGTTTAAAAGCAGTGTTATTGCATATTTTGAAAGATACAGTTTGAATACACTTTAACAGGTATTGAAAAAACTGCTTGGAATGATTTCCGTCTGGTGGTCACTAATTTCTTGGGAAATAGAAAAGCTGACAGCTATAATACCCTCGTCAAAAATATGCTGTCATCGTATCAAAAGATGAGCTGTAATATGTCTCTTAAGATACATTTCCTACACTCACACCTGGACTTTTTTCCTGACAATTGCGGAGCCGTAAATGATGAGCACGGCGAACGTTTTCATCAGGATATTTCAACAATGGAAAAAAGGTACCAGGGAAAGTGGAATCCTTCCATGCTTGCAGACTACTGTTGGATTCTTGGTAGAGATGCTCCAGAAGCGATCCATAAAAGAACAGCAAAAATACAGCACATATAGTGATTCTTATAAGTATATGAATCTTGTTACTTTTTTTAATACATCCTTAAAAATAAAAAGTTTTTTTCTAAACCGCAACTAATTTTTTTATTTCATTGTCACTTTTGGATTCAGCGCCCCAAAATTAACAAAGAAGTGCACTTTTCCCACAAGATACAATTAAAAAACTAAAATTTGTTGTCCAGTGATAATCGAGTTTGAAGGTTGCATATTCGCTTTTGGAATTTTATTTTTTTGTGGATCCAAAATTTTCTAATGACTTTAGTTACTTGATGTCATGTATTATATGATTCGTTGGGTCTTTCAAACTCCGTTGGCACATTTAATTCGAAGTCTGGTCTGGTATACGAAACAAATGACTATCTGATAATTTCAGGACCTACTTAGGAACGTCTGTTTTCCTGGAATAACTAGAGCTCGTTAATGTCAAAATGTGACATGTTATATATACTAAGTGACATATAAATCCGAACACCCAGTTTAAATGGTTTTATTTTAATAAAATTTTGTATAAGTACTTAATGAAGCATAATATGTAAATGGTAAACATTTCAAAATGATTGCACTGCTTTAAAGCCCTTTGAGCTTTAATAATATGTGGATGCACCCTGATGTGCTACGCATTCTCCAACGCGCCTAGGCATGCTTCTGATCAGGTGGTCAATGTCCTCCTGTGGTATCTCATTCCAGGCAACCACCAACTCCTCTCGAAGTGCTTCTAGAGTCTGAGGAGGACGTTGCAAATTGAGCAATCTCCTACCCATCATATCCCACACGTGCTCAATTGGGGA